CGTACTGTAAACATATTTTTGTAGTGCTAATAGTTTTTCATTCATTCATTAAATGATCTGCACCCAGTCAAATTTCATATTATTTCTCTTTAATACATTTACAGTTACACAGTTCGTACGTGCATGTGTGGAGAAGAGAGCAGAAACGTCTTACGTAAATTACAATTAAATTCTAAGTGCATGAGCGTGACGCGATGCGAAATGTGAAATGCAAGCAAACGCCTTCTTCGAAGCTTGAGCTTTAAAAGCTATTTGGAAATCATGTCATGAATCTGCCAATGAAATGTTTAATCTTATCGCATACGTCGCGAATTGGACGAAATGCCGAGAGTTGCGACGACTGCCATTCCGTCAACTGCTGCCATGAGTTTTCATTTACTACGGAGCATTTAATTAAGACATGAAATATGGTAGTGGCGATGTCTGTGGCCTTTTGCATATTGACATTTGCTGCCATTTGAGTGGAAACATCATCAGCAGATGTACATATGTGCCTACGTGCATCCTCTAATCTCCATTCCGAATGCCTTTCCACTTCCATATTACAGAGCCGTTGATTTGGCTTGTACTTAAGAATGCGTAAAAGCTGCAGCTGTCACTTCGCTGCTCCCGACCCTTTGTCCACACAAATGGCAGTGGATGTCTGTTAAAGAATCAATGTAATGTTTGTATGTAGATACATATATATATTTCTAGACTTGTAGAAGAACTCATGAGATAACTTTCTTGCTTGTTTACATTGCTACAATGTCACAACAGCAATAACAACAACAGCACAACATTGCTTTTTACACCCAACAGCATTTGGTTGCAAGAGGAAGGCGATATCGATAAACCAAAACAAAAATTGAATGGAATATCGGGAAGACTGAGAAGACTATTTCAAGAAATGCTTTCATCGAAAACGTGGAAGCTTTTAATGGGTTCTGTCGACTTCGGCTTTATCCTCACAATATTTTAAATAATATTTTTGAAGCTGGAGATTTCTATTACAGGGAATTGGGTGGGTTGAGGGGTTTTTTGCTGAGATCATCCGAGTGGCCACTTGCTACCATCATGCCGAGGTGTTTCTAAGGAAAGGCTGCAAATTTCGGCGGTATTTTCCGGCCCAAAGCATCTTAGCCTCTGCCTTGCTAGTTGTTATCATTGTTGTTGTTTGCATAATATTGCGCGTTGCACTTTCATTAGGATTGCACCCAGTTATACATTAGATGGCGGAAAAGAGTTTGGTTCTTAACTAACAAACAAGCGCGCACGCGCACATTCACAAACACTCAAACACTCAAACACAAACACAAAGTACCGGTCGGCGGAGCACATACCACCTTGGCTGCCGACCATTCTAATCTGACGCAGCTGCGTCTGCGGCCGACAACACCAACACCACCGCCGCCGACGCGTACGTGCATGAGCACCGGCTAGTGGCGCAGACTTCCTGTACTAACTATCTCGGCGGAAAGCTGACATTTCGCATGCGAAAATAAATTAGTTTTCCATGTTGCTTTGTCAGTTATCACATGGAAATGCTTGTTTTATATCGGCGAATTCTTTAAGACCGCCACCTGTGTGGATATGCGTGTGTGAATCGGTGCCCTGAGAAGAACATGAGTACTCCATGCAAGCATGAATTATATAATAACGGAATAACCCAAAGCTAGCATCAATCCATACAGAAATTATGATCCTGCGAAGGAAATCAGTTTTGAAATTACCCCACAAAGATACGCCATTGAGCATCTACAGTGGATTCCATTATGGAAAACACAACTTCCGTGTACGATCAGAGTTTACGAACGAAGCGAACGAAGCGAATCTGACTCAATTACAGTTTCACACATTTTCTGTATATAAAACTTGTGTAGCGATTGCGATCGGTAAAACCCTAAGAATGGTCGTACTGCTATAAGCTGATATAGATACTTGGGTTGCCCCATTGGTATATTAAAGCGGACTAAATATTAGATTACTCTAATCGGCCATATGGTCCACAAATGTTTGCCGGGTGGCATAGTCGGTGTTGGTGTCAAAAGCGACACAAATATTGCCTATTAATATATGTGCAGATGTTGTGTGTTTGTGTTCTACGTTAGTTTACCTGCACATCTTCGGTCTGCCTTTTTTGGCGTTCCACTTTTGTTGACTTACCGCAAGTCATGTCTATTCTTAGACGAAAATCCGCAAAGCCTTGGCTCCATAGACCACTTACAATTGGCACTCACATTGACATTACAAGCAGTTATGTTATGCTGCATGTGAACCTATAAACATACAAACATATGTACAATATATACAAAGGTTTAAACATGAAATCGCCGCACGCAGTCAAAATAAAGTGTCTTCTGTGGCCGCTTAAGTTGTTTTATGGCCAAAAGATTGCGAAAACGCAATGGACCTGCTACCACTGTAGTTATTGTTGTTGTTTTTGTTGTGCTTGTTGAAAGCATTAGGCATTAGTTAGCCGTTCATTGACTGGCTATTCATTTTAATACCGAAACATGCTGCTACGCATGCGCAATTTATCACACGCACCCCCTCATGCACACACCGACGCGCACTCACAGGTTAAAACTTATTACATTAGACTGGTTAAAATGAAAAGTTAAAAGTGGAAGAGGCCTTTCTACAGAAATACCAGAGCATACGATATCGCCCCAATTAGAAAAATCCTACACGATTAGTTTGTGGCTTTTTGGAGTTTTTAGAGAGGAATCTGAAGAGAGCGTTACTTTTGCAGAGCAACTTGTCAGCTTTGCGAAGGAAAAATTATATTTAGTACCCAATAACGACAGACCTAATGTCATATTTTATAGTTAGGCAATCAGCTACGCATGCGCAGGTGAAACGAGTCTCATGAGTGAATTGCAATCAATTTGTTTAAGCGGAAAATAATTGCGGCATCGGTAAAATGTTATTTTCCTGACAAATTGAAATGAGAAGGGATAAATAGAATCCACAGACTTGCATGCTAAAGTCGAGCTGCGACATGTATATACATGCAAATGCTTCTATATAAATATATACAACTCAATTGAATGTGTGTTGATGACCAGGGAAACACAGGTCTGCACAATTTATTCTCCCATTTCTCCTCTTCGACGAACATAGCTTAGACATTTAATTAGCTTGTCGTCCCCGTTTTGTTGTATAGCACATTACGGGCTTAGTGGGTTTCACGAGGATTTTTTGGGAATAATTTAGACGCAGACGCTTAGTGCGATGAGCAGTATAAAACGTGGTCGCGAACTGCAAAACGTCTCTTCGTCTCACCCTACATTAATTCTCTACTAATAATAATCTACTACTACTTTATTCATGCTCCAATGCATGCCAGAAATGTGTAATTTGATTTTTGATAAAATCTACTTTTCGAGATATTAATGTTGGCCGCAGAAAAGGGTCTCAAACTGTTGTCTAACATATAAAATAGCCGGAGATATTATAGTCCATGCCACCCATAGCACTGTACCTATACTTTTTTATTTGAAATACACACTCATACCCTTTTTTTGCATGCATAAAGTGACATTTATGAAATCAATTTCACAAAATACGAACAAATTTCATCTTATCACTCAGCTATCCCTTATTCATGGCAGCAACAAGCCAAAAAGCTGCCTTAATCTGATTAACACAATCAGTGGTCAGATAACGTGAGCCGCTGGAACCAACAAAGCATTTATGCACATGCTCATGTATCGTCGAGTGGTCACGGAATATGAGAGAACCTTGAAATGAAGCGAAAATTCATATCATTGCTGAATTTGCCACACATCGCCGGCCATAGATGTAATCAAGATAAGAAAAGCATCAATTTCATTGGCAAAAAGGTTATTGACCCTAAGGGCTTAAATGAAGTTATTGAATGAATATGCGCTCCGCACACACCCGTGTGGGATTACGAGAATGTGGCATCTTCCAATACCCTATTCTTTTTGGTACTCAGATGTTGTTTTTGCATTTAATTCATTGCCATCGAAGGAAGTTCGACGCACAAATTTTTGAGGTGCTGGAGTTTAGCTGAACTCACGGTACCATCATTCTTGCCACTCTATTTGAACTAATGAAAGTCAAGTATTAATTAAGTTCATTTTTCATTGGTTTTTACGTTGTTTATTTAAAGGAACTCCATATTGTATGGAAAATTCTGTTAATGGAGCAGGTTGAGTAGAATGGACGCTACTCATCTGGCAGCAGCAGAAGATCTAACAAAACTTTGCGAGGGAGAACTGCATTTAGATATTAATAAAATTCTGATTCGAACATTAATTTTTTTTTACTTATATGTCTTTTTACTTCAAAGGAGTCGCGATTATGGCGGAGGCGGTCGTAGAGCTGAGGAGCTGAATCGCCAAGGCATGGCATTATTAAAGACTTCTGTCTATATGGTTTTGCTCACAATATTTTGCACATTTTTGGAAATTAATTTATTGTTGTAATGTTATTTCTTTGCACTGCATGCTACATAAACCATGTACATGATCTATGTAAAATATTGGAATAAAGACAGACTCTTAATAATGTTTGTATATAATATATGGAATATATATATATATATGTAGGGAAAATTTTTGTCAAAGCAGAGTTACTTCGGCATCAATGCTGTCGCTCATCTGTTCGGCTTGTACGGCACTACCCAGCTGTGTTCTGTTTGCACGACAAGAATGACGAAAATGCACAATTAAATGAAGAGAGAATGACGTACGCGTATAAAAATGTAAACATCACATTTGTCATTTCGGCCTGAAGAAAGTGATGGGAAAATCATTTTACGAGCTGACGGGATATGCCGTCATGCATTCTTGACATATGTTGGCTCAAATCATCGAACGCTTTCTTACAGGGTTGTCCTTACAGAGAAAAGTTAATCAAATTCCGAAATACTTACGATCACTAGTTAATATGTATGTAAGTACATTTTACTAAAAGCATCCGCTGCTAATCGAAATTCAATGCAGTTATTTATAGAAATAATTGTTTTTGCTAAATTCCATTAGTTACTTTAATGTAAGGCCTAAATATATAAATATATATACACATTTGTACAAGTACATATTGAAAAATTTAAATATTAGGTTCTGTGTACTAATTTAATCTTTCAGAATATCTTCGATATATTATTACTTCATATACATATATGTATATATACATACATTTATATATGTATGTTTGTTTATAACCCTTTTTTTCCACATTCTGACATGCAATGACCAACATAATAACAAACGCGGATACTATATAAATTTGTTGATAACAAAACCAGCTTGATAAGCTAAAATATTTTGACATCACGGTCAAATACTGCTTATGTACAAGCACTGTCTCACGATAAAAGAGACCGCTGGATAGTAGATACGAAACATGTGCAATGAGTACCCATCAAACCACCCACCATACTTATTTAAATATAGTCGAGCATCCATTTCCAACATCCAAAAACATCCAATAAAATGTCGAACTTCGGAAAATAATTTTTGAGCAGTTTCGTTTATCGTGTGACAGACCTTGTATATGTTTGCCACTACGTACGAGTATATATGTACATATCTACTGCAAGTGGTGCACATAAAAAACCCAGAAGTATATATACTAATCAATGTTACGTCTAAAAATAAAATATATTTTGCCTATAAAGCTAAGAAAGTAAAAGTATTACGTTTTCGTTGTACGGCCACTCTTGTGGACCTCCCACTTTTTGCCCAACGCCAAATCACGCGCTTGATTTCGCAATATTTTCCCACTACCTGTTTTTGGCAATTCGTCCAGAAAGAAAACACCACAATGTAATTGCTTGTGCATCACCACCAACCGCTTGGCCACATACTCGACAACATCTTGTTCCAGCAATTTACTGCCCGGTATCTTCACCACCGCCGCTGCAGCAGCATCGCCATCTACTTCATTCCACAGTCCGAAAACACATACTTCTATGACATCTGGCAACTCTGCGACTACTTGTTCGATCTCGTGCGGACAATATTGCATGCCATGGAACTTGAGTACATCCCTCTTCCTGTCCAACACATAGAGGTAATTCTCACTATCGAAATAACCGAGATCGCCGGTATGAAACCAGCCCTGATAGTCTTGCATGTGTTTCGTTTCATTTGGGTTGCCATAATAACCATTCCAAATTTTATTGTTGTGTACCAATATTTCGCCAGTCTCATTATGACCCAAGCTGCGTCCCGCATCATCAAGTATTTTCACCTTTATGCCCGGCACCAATTTGCCCACGGAACTAGGCTTGGTAATGCCCAAATTGGCAGAGACACCGCCACATTCGGTGAGCGCGTAACCGTAGGATATATAACCATTAGTTAGGTACTCTTGCATTTTTAGCAAAGTGGGAACGTAACAATTGCCACCGCCAATACTCAGAAACCGTACACTTATCAACTTCTCTTTGGATAAAAGTGGGGACTTGACGAGTGTGGCGACATGACGCGGCGCCAAAGTTAGTATAGTCACTTTGTACTTATCAATAAGACGCAGCAGATATTCCGGCGTGTAGGGTTTATCGACTATAATACGCGTCGCGCCATGACCACAACTGAAGAGCATGTTGAATAAACCTGTGGACCAATCAATGGTGCTGAACGACAGCAGTACGTCCTTGCTGGAGACAAAGCTGTTGAGAGGCAGCGGATATTAATTTGAAAAGTAAACTAAAAGAAATCAAATTACCCATAATCGAAGAGACAACATGAGTTGGAAATGCAGACGTTTTTAGGCACGCCAGTGGTGCCGGAGGTACATAATATCGCAACTGTTTGATCGCCACCGATGTTGAGGGTTTCAGGTCTATAACAAATATAATGTTAAGGAATTTATTAATTTGAATAAAAGCTCGAATCGAAGCTTGGATGGCGTACTCAATCCGGAAATAGAAAACGGAAAACGAAAATCTAACGGTCAGCAGACAAAAACGGGCATTTGGAACGCTAATCTTGTCTTATAGTTAAAGGTCACAAAGGGTTCCTAAACATCAAGCTCACAGTTTAACCTGTCTTAAAGCAAGAAAAAACATGTGAAAAACTGATAACGTAACCTATTGCAGTTCAAATTGAGCCAAAAGAGGATACATCTAAACGCGTCCTGGTGTTAGCTTGCTTGGCGATCTCAGCAAGTCCTTCGAAATTTTGAAAGATATTGCGGAATATCTGGTACTTTTCTTTACTTTTCTAACTTATTGATCTCTACATACGGATATGTAGAGAAAACAGAAATTTACAAATAAATACTGTCTACTCTTTTCCGTACCAGAAATGCAAACTAAAATTAAGAATAAACACATTGATCTTCAAAAGTCCCACAGACAGGCTAGCCAACAACAAAAACCTCAATTGGAACACCATAAACTCAATTAGTACTCACACATAAAACACTTCACCCTTTGTGGGCTCGAGTAGATCCTCAATCCGCGGCAAATCCTTGCGATGTTCCTTCAATGTGTAAACATTGGCTTTAATTACTTTGCTAACTGTGCTCAGACGATCGTAGATGGCGCCATCACAGAAGATCAAGCGTGGACGTGTGATGTAAAATAAATGTTTGATTGCAGCTGAGCAGTAATGAAAAGGAGAAAAAAAATTAACGAAAATCACATAGAACAAAATCCGAAAATTGTCGAGTGAGCTCGTTTGCGTCTACTCACATTCGTCTTGATGGGGGCTTATCGCATGGAATGGCGTGCAGTTCAATAGGCAACCCAAAACCAAGGGCAGCAGATAAGTTGAGTTGCCGCCCACAATGCCAATAACATCATCTTGCCTCAAACCCATCGCCTTGAAGTGTTGCGCCAGGCGAATCCCGAAACTAATCGCTTCGCCGTTGGTGAGTGCGGTGCCTTCCGTATCGGATATCTGTAGCAAATATGCGTAAGTACATATCGGTATGTCAGTAAATTGTTTTACAAACCTGGCAAATATTTCCGGCATTATTGCGCATAAAAGCGAAAAGCACCTTGCCAATCGAGCAATCCGGATCGAAAAATTTCGTAGATTTTGGGCCACTCCAAATTTTCGTATACTTATCGAATTCTGTATTTATGTGATCCATAATGTCGCCGATAATGTTGGCTGGCGAATTTTTTTTCTTAATCCGTTCGTGTTACTTTACCACAATCTGGAAGAATCAGCAGATAAAATCCCCGGACGCAAGACAAGCGTGCTCCTACCAACTTTTGACCCTCAAATACCAATCAGCCTTTTTAACTGATGGCTAAAATCGTTTATATCTTTTGCTTTGGTTAGAGGCACATAATAAACAAGAATATTGATAAAGAGAGCTAAATGTGTAGGTAATTCGATGTCTGTGTGTTAACTTAACGCACTCTTTTATGGTCGAGGTAAGTCCCTGTGGGAAACACTCGTTATTATGAAGTCAGCTGTTGATATCCTTTCCTCGCAAATAACATCTAAATTCTAATTCTGTTTCTAAAAACAAAAACCATAGTGCAGTTTGATAGCTCCGAAACTAAATATTTTATTTATTTCTTCTTTTAGTTTATTGGAATAGAAATAATTTTTATTTAGCATGACTTCAACAAAGAACTCCCAACTGAATAATAACAACTTGATTTAATTAAAACAATTTCATCAATTTTTCTTGCCTTAAAAGAAATATATACAGTAAAATTTTAATAGATTCAAGCCAAAATTAATTTTATTTTTTATTATTTTCTTTTTTCTTACAGGGTCACTTCGATCATTTGACATGCCACTGTATATCTAAGCTCCTTATCATTCTAATACTTTTGTTGATAAGATTACTTGGCTAAAGACAAAACAGTAGACAAAAAGCAAAATTATCGACTACAAACAACAATCAAGTCAGTAGGAATTCCTCTCCCCAGCAGTAAGTTTTTAAATATCATGGTAAGTAGGTGGGAGTACAACATATCCTCGTCCTATTCACCATGTCCATCAGGGGTAAAGGTTTGCCTAAATCCTCCAAGGCTGGACTCAGATGATGAATGAAGTCTACAAATCGGGTATTTATTGGGAAGTCAGAGATAAGTTGAGGACTTTGGTGAGAAAGACTGCTCGCGCTGGTCCTAAATGTTTTAGCATCAAATCCTTATTGCGTCGAGGCCGATCGATTTGGAGGCTTTGGTCTTCGCGATGACCACCTGAAAGTCTTCCCTAACGAATGATATTATCACCCAGTCATCGAATCTCGTCGAGCTTGCCAACGATTTGACTATCGCACAGTGCCTGGTTGCCCTAGAGGACAAGTTACAGGATCTTAAGTGTTCCTTCCGCTTATGAATGTTGACTTGACACCGAATCTCCTTATTAGGATTTCTTGAGGAGGGGATTTCCGGGACAGGTGTGACGAATGGAGTCGCTGCTAGAACCGTCACATCCGTAGGAAATTTTGAGCGAATTTCCGCAATTCGGCCTTTTTGGATGAAGCAGGCGGTAGCGGTCACCCCTGGAGGTTAGGGGTTCCAATAGTTCCCACGACAGTCAAGTCTTTATACTGGAACGACCCGGATTTTTATCCGGCAAAGGACAGTCACGCCCGCAATATTCCCCAAAACGTACTTTGGGGAATATTTTTGCGATTACAATAACAACAACAACAACAATTCTGCGGAAGAGCGTTCAACGACTGTGTTGTTAGAGTGGGAAGATCACTGAAGGCATCGGTGAATTCCGTGAATACGGGTCATGTAGCTTTTTTGAAGTTAACGAACGTTCACGGAAATAAAGTCGAGAGCCCTGTCAATCGAGATAAGTATGGGTGAGTGACCTGATGCTGGCATCAGCATAGCTCGACGGGCTATGCTATTTATGAGAAGGTCGAGTGTCTATCTGCTCTACCAGATCCATCCCTCTACGGTCATTTGACAGGGTAGAATGTAAAATGGGAGTCATGTTGCGAGGAGCTCCGTAAGACCGTAGAGGTTTGGCGTTGTTTACCCAGAGTGAGTAAGGGTGCTAATGATACTGCCGTAGAGGGAAAGCTCTTCGTATACTATAGGTGGTTGTTTGACTCCGAGGAGGCGATTCACTGGGAGAGAGTTCTTGAAGGTGTTAACTGACTCTTGGTAAATGGCGTTAAGTGCCTGTCTGTACGCTTTCCTCTCCCTCAAGTCAAGTTCTCCTGTGTTTGGACAGGCTTGAAGCTTCATCAACTGTGTCTCGCTTGTTCCAGGCATCCACATCGGTGCAGTGTAGTTTACTACCGTCCGGCCAAACGCTTTGGAGATTGCCAGTAAAGTTATTTTATACATTTCCACAATTGCTGCCGGCTAAGGGTTTGAGGATTTTTTCGCGGCTCTGGAGCGGCCCAGTAACTTGGGGTTATTTACAGTCGGAATTTCAGATATCAATTTACTTACAAACATATGTCATCAATATCCTGTCCAAACACCAATATCGAGCAATTATCGGCATATGAAATCACGAAACTCCTTCTCTTGGAGGGGGAAGCTTTTCTGTGTTCTAAGTTCAAGTGGCATTAATATTTGTGGTGCCACTTTGTACACATTTTCGGTTGCTTTTGATTTTTATCTAAATATATTTCTTTAATGTTACAAGAGTATAATGAATTCATTTGTGCTTATAAGACATGATTTAATTTACGTGTCCTGCCATTTTCGCCATCATATCAGAGAACGTAAACTAAATTATGTACCGAATATTCTGTGTACAGTAAGAGCATGCCAGAAACTTCTAGAACTGAGGTTGAGCACCCAACGTGACGTTGGTCGGTTGCTAAGTGAACTCGGTAGCGACAAACAACATCGGTATAGAAAGTTGTTTAGTTAGAAAACTGTGTGAAAATAGTGTGCAAATAGTACATTTTTGGTTATTAAGTAATATATATATTTTAAAATTAAGAAATCTTAGGAGTTTTATTTAACAATCCAGTGATCGAACTCGAAAGATTTGAGAAATCATCGAGGCGTATTTAACGAAAACAAAGAACGTATATGAATTTATTCATATACGTTCTTTGCGAAAATCGAAATATTTTATTCGTTGAGTTTGGGCTTCATACGCGCTCTGGGCTACTTCAGAGAAATAATCTGGCCGGTCGCTACCAGGCTTGCATTGGTATATAATATTCGTAATCACTGATTTATTTGCATATTTTTGATAATTGTCCGTTTTTAATTTGAAGTATCATTAGTGGTATATTAATTTACGTACAAAATCAATATCCCGATTTTGTTGACTGTTGCTTACTTGCCTGCATAATGGTTTTTTTTGTGTCTTTTGCCCTAATTTTTGATTTTGTATTGTAAAATTCGTATTCTAGTTTGTACCTGTGTGTACACAGACAAGAAGGAGAGAAATAAACTTCGGAGTAGACCTTTAACGGCATCTACAGAGGACTCAAAATAAATAAAATTCAACTAATAATCTAGTTTATAAGTATAAGTCCGCAGTCACAGAAATCGTAACTAATATCTTGAATGTTTTGGAATTGATAACTGTCTGTTACTATATTTTGAATTGGTAATGGCATCGAGACGAGTAAAAAAATCAAAGAGTGGAGAAAAGAAGAATACGCTTTCGCAAAAACAAAAACATCAACAGAGTAAAGCGGAGAATTATGTAGAAACTTTGGAAAGTAATGGTGCACCTTTTGTAAAAATTATTGAGCAACCAGCAAGTAGAATGGTGAGATTTCGTTACCAATGCGAAGGGCGCTCAGCAGCAGCAGTACCGGGCATGAGCTCAACACCGCGAAATAAAACTTATCCTGAGATTGAAATCGTTGGCTATAAAGGAGCTTCTGTAGTTGTAGTATCTTGTGTATCCAAAGATGCACCGTATAGGCCACATCCATATAATTTGATTGGAAGAGAAGGTTGCAGACGTGGTGTATATACTGTTGCCAATAAAACGGGGACAACGCGCATAAAATTTTGTTCCTTAGGTGTACAATGTGTCAAGAGAACAGGTGTCCAAGCATCTTTAAAAATACGTGAAAATATACGCGTCGATCCCTTCAAAACTGGATTCGAACACGCTACTGAAGCGATATTTGTAGACATGACAGCGGTTCGTCTATGTTTCCAAGTATTCATTGAAGACTCTTCAGGACGTTTCACAATTCCTCTCAAACCTGTCGTTTCGGAACCAATTTATGATAGCAGGGCTGTAGCAGATCTTAAGATATATCAGATGTGCAGTTCGTCAACAGCGCTTGGTGACAAGCCAATTATCTTACTCTGCGACAAAATTATTAGGGAGAAAACAATGGTGAGATTTTATGAAGAGAAAGGTAGCGACGTTATCTGGCAATCGTATGGAGACTATCGACCATCTGATATACATAGGCAAACAGCAATTAAATTATACCCTCCGCAGTATCACAATCTAGATATAACAGAGCCTGTTCAAGTATACGTACAACTTGTAAACGTGGACGGTTTTGCTAGTGAACCTTGTCCCTTCAAATATATGCCTATTGATTCGGATGAAGTGTTATTAAAGCGTAAATGCAAGCGTATTGGTCTTGAAATTGGCACGGACTCAAAGAAAGAACATGCTTCTAGAGGGGATTCTTTTAGAAACATCGTGGAGAGTTGGTTGAAGCCTAATATAACAAGGTCGCTCTCAACTCACTCAAAGGAAGATGTATATACGGAAACATCGTCTAGCGATGAAACTTTGGAAAGTGCTTACAGCAGCATTCCCGAAGTAATCAGTGATGTAATTTCTGTCAGAATGGCGACTAGCGAAGACAGTAATGATTCCGTGGCTAATCAAAAACTTCAAACCCCTGCACATCAATTACCAACAAATTCTATACCGAATCATCAACAACAACAAGCATCACCTAGTAAATCAGATTATCAACATGAATACTTTCAGACGAAATCATCTAGCATGCAACAACCACAGAGTGCCTCCTCACCTTTATCGCTTGGACCAAAATTGTCTTTCATCGAAACACCTAAACCTGAATCTCTTCACCTGCAACAACATCACTTAAAGCAAACTCCACCACTCCATCATGAAAATACTCCACCACGATCACATAATTTACAACACCAACATCTCTCGATGAAATCAGCCCATAAACTGCCTCTCCAGATTAACTCAGCTCAACTGCAATCTTCAGATCATCTGCCGATAGAATCACATGGGCATGAGTTGAGACAAAAACAAAATTTGTCAATCTCATCGCCTCATCAAACGGAGCAGTCGCCTCAGCCACTAACTGTCCGGTTTGACTCTCCTCAGCTGCAACTTTCAGGGCATTCAACGAAGGAATCACAAGCGTTCAAGCGTTCAAACAACAACTTATCAATGCGATCGCCTCATCAACCATCTCCGAATGAAATACAGGATTTGTTAGAACAGCTACCCCTCCGGTTTGACTCGCCTCAATTGCAATCACCGACGGGATCACAACAACAAAACCTCGCAGAGCCTTCTCCTCAACAACCTTTCAGAGAAAATCCAGAGTTGCGAAAGCAAAATCAAGCAATGGTGTTGTCTCAGATGCAGCAGCATCTCCCGAAACAATCACCTCAACATGGAAATTTTGCCACAGAATCACATAAGTTACAACAACAACATCTCTCTATGAAATCATCTTATTCTCTTCCTCCCCGGATGGACTTAGCTCAACTGCAGCAAGAATATCTCTCAATAGAATCAGATGAACATGAGTTGAAACAGAAACAAAATATGTCAATGTCATCACCTCATTCATTGGAGCAATCACCTCAGCCACTACCTCTCCGGCTTGACTCACCACAACTGCAACTTTCAGAACATCCTGCGATGGAGTCACATGAGCCCAAGCAACAACGAAATATTCCAATACGATCACCTCATCAAGAAGCTCCGAATGAAATACAAATACAGGAATTGCTAGAACAGCTACCCCTCCGGTTTGACTCGCCTCAGTTGCAACTTTCAGAGCAAACACCAATGGAATCACATGGTTTAAAACAACAGCAAAATTCCTCAATGGCATCGCCTCTTCAGCCTTCTAGAAAAACAGACGAGTTAAAACAACAAAGCTACCTAATTCCATCATCTCAACAACTACAAAAGCAGCAACCAATTCAGTGGCCACAACAACTCGAAAAGCATTCGCCTCTACATTCGAATTCTCCTATTAAATCGCATGATTTCGAGCAGCAACAGCTCTCAATTCAATCACATTTACAGAGAGATTCACCTCAGTTGCAACAACAATATAATCAGAGGCAAACACAACATTATCCACAACAATATTATCCGAAGCCAATAGCTCATCCAATGGAATCAATTGAGTCAAAGCAACAAAGCCAAACGACACAATCATCTCAACAACAGCAATCTCTTCATATGAACACATTTCAGGTGAAACAAAATGTCTCAGGACAAGCACAACAACAAAATCTTCCGATGAACTCACCTCAACAGCAACAACAAAACGTGCTGTTACCAAATTCGAATCTACAACCGCTGGGTGTTAAACCTCAGCAGCAGTCTCTGCACCTGCAGCAAATGCAATCTCTTATGCTTATGTCGACTCAGTTGCAGCAGTTGCAACAACAACAGCCCCATTCCAATCAACAACTGTTGCAACCGAATCACAATACTATTGCCCCTTTACAGGACGGGATGGTTGCGACTGTTCTTGCCAACGCATTTGCATCTTTGTTGGAAAATTATCAGTCCAAATTTCAACAACTCATCGCAGCTACAGCAAATACCATGCTGCAGAGTGGACAGTGGAATATTCCGCCAACAAATAATGCCGTAAATATGCTTGCGCAGATGCAGACTCAGCAACAGCAACAGCAATTGATGGTGCAACAACGGCAACAATCACCAGCACATCAACAACTGCAAGAAATTTCACAAAATATAGAACAACAACAAGCTCAGCAATCGCCAGCACATCTACAACATTTAGAACAACAACCACATCAAGAGTTAGCTCGAGCAAAAATTCAGCAGCGGCCCAGCAACAATACTCATTTCGAAAAACCAACAAATCGTGAGCAATCGAATGATCATGCTTTACATAACTTATTAAATTTAGAGGAAAATGCCGGTAGCAATTCGATCCCATCCAGCCCTCTCTGGTCCTTCGATACTTGAGATGAAAAATGTATTTGATATTTTTGTTATTTTTATATATATTTTTTTTAATAAAAAAGTTAACTAATTGGTATATATATACATACATATATGCACAAGTGTATCTATTACAAATGCTCCATGAAAATAATTAATCGGTGTCTGCGATGGTCTTGCTTACTGGTACGATTAAATTCCTCATATGAGAAGTCAAATAATAGTTAGATAAGTTTTAAAAAAAGATTAAGCGATTCATTTTAAAAAATTTGAAAGTGAATGAAAAACAAACAAACGCCCGGTCGTACGTCCTTTGGATCGGTGTAATTAGATTTTGCTGTTTAGTGAAGGTTTTTTGAAATTCGTCCATTAATACAATTAGTTAATATTAAAAAAACACAAATAGTTGCAGATATGAAATGACGGAAGAGTGCCCGAAATTATGTGTTACTTTTTGGAAAACATTTCATGTCTTCGAAATATCATTCACAATAATCATTATGGTTGCAACAGGGTGATTCAAAGGGAAGAGATTGAAATAATTTGAAGGTTCATGTCTCGGCTAGAAGTATTGGCAAAGAACGTATTAAATATACGTTCTTTGGTATTGGCAGAGAGTGGTAGTACAGAGAAGGCGCAAATGTTAAGTCACATCAAAATGTCAGAGAACGTAAATACGTTGTATTTCATTCTCTGTCAGGGTGCTTAGCATGGAACTAATCTAAATTGAAGACGCGACCCAATAGGGAACTGGCAAAAAGGCAATATCGCACTCAATTTGCAAGAAGAAAATATAATTAAAAAAAGCAAAATAAATAAAATAAAATAGCATTAAATAAAGTAAAAATTGTTAAAATAATTCAAAATTTAATTAAATAAATAAATAAAATAAATGAAATTAAATTAAATTAGTACTAAGGTTAAGGCAAAGGAAATAAATATACGTAAATAAATAATAAATCCTCCCCATCCATAAAAAGTAATTAATTTAATTTGTTTTTAACTAATTTTGCATTCTATGTTAACGCCAACGAGTTCACTTTGTAACTAACTTATTTTGTAGAAAAACGTAGAACGTAGAACGTTCGACGTTGGGTCAAAATCTTAGCTTAGGGACAAAATAATACTAATTAATTTTCTGCATAACATAACATTGTGATTCATCCCAATTAAGTAGGATTATTAAAAAAATAATTGTAGATAAATTTTAAATAAGTAAAAAATTAATAATAATATGTTGGCTCAAATGATAGGAAGCCTTCTTGCTGGGAATTGTATTTACGTTCTCTGATTAGAAGAAGAAAGCCTGAACGTACAGCCATAACCCAAACGGTGGTGGACGCCGGATATTCCCACCCACTTTGCTATTTTCTGGCTGTCAATTTCATTGGGAACCCGAAAATTTCAAATCTTGTCTTCTAGATATTATTTACACTTTTATTGATTTTGTTTTTCCTTTTATTTGTTAAATTCTTCACGTGGCATTCATCATCATTAACCGATGTGAAGTTGTGTTTTTACAGCAATTTCAGTTTTATTTATTTATTCATTTCTTCTTATGTACGTAATATAAACATTAATTGTTATAATTACTCTGAATTTGAATTATGTAACTTTCATTCTTTATGACTTCATTTCATATCATCATAATTTGTTTATTTCTTATTTCAATTTATTTATTTATTTGTTACACTTTTTTATCATAATCTCATTTGCACAAGACGATTTTTGCATGTATGTATGTATGTATGTATTTAGTTGTGCTACAGATGCATAGTTCTACAATACAATACAATAGTTAATTAGCTTATTTTAAGTGGTGAATAATAAACATGACGATTTCTGGTGTATTCACGTGCTCTCAACTACACGTGTAATTTAACAGTTAGTTTTGTGAAGTGTTTGGTTTTGTATTGGTTTTTGTGCAGCAATGGAAACATTTATGTGAATTTTAAAAGATTCTGTTAACGTTCTCAGTGAGCTACATACATATGTACATATATCGGCGTCTGTAATTTAATGTATGTACACGTATGTATGTATGCATGTGTGTTTGTGTGTGCATAAGTTTTGATTTTGTGAGCGAAATAGGAAGACTTGAAACGTGAAATTTATACAAAAGTGTATGTATGCATTTACATAAAATTCCGTTGTGTTTATATGTCGTGTGCACAGTGGAGTTTACATACAAACAACTACATATATTGGTACTTAAAAGTTTATTTAATTTTCCATTCATGGCATGACATAGCTGCTCTTCCGTTGCTTGCTGAATCCCATTTCCGCCAAAATATCAAACTGTAAACGCGAATTGGTGCATGGATCTCGTTTTACTGTTACTGTTTGGCCCCACCTTCTGCTTTGTATTTTGGAAATTGGAAATTAGCTTTATTTGGTATAATTATTATTGTTACGGTTAGTTTTGTGTTTTTCCGATTGGCATAACATCAATTTTATTTTATTTAATTTTTTTTTTTTGTGCAATGGCAAAATAGGTTTTGGGTTAATATCAAATATATACGTGTATATAAGAAGCATACATACATATGTTTATCGTATATTTCCCTTTATAAAATAATTCTTTATATGTATGTATGTCGAAACATGCCAAAACTATTTTGGTATCCAATAACCGGAGCGTTAGTCAGCATTAAGTTATTCATTCATTTGAATAATGAATTTGCATGGTGAACCTAACGGGAGTATCTGGTTTTAGTTGTAACTGTAAATAGATCAATATAGAGTTGCCGCCAAAGTCTGTTCCATCGGTTTGGTTGCTAAGATTTTAAGGATTTCAATCGCCTGTCGTGGGTAAGAAAACGGGCACTTGAAATCTCAGCGGATTGAGCTAAGAGAGCTCACTGTAAGCCTAGAGAAATGCATATAAGATCTGCCTCCTTGCAAAGGCAGTTAAAAGTTCCCTAATTTAGGACACCATCCTTAAGGGGAAATAAAATAATACCCAGAATAATTCTAGATAAAAATATTAGCATACGGGAATTCGGAGCAATGGTTTTAGTCCCTCACAAATTTTCAGACAACTATTAAGGAAGTTGACACCTTAAAATGAAGAACGCAGGTCTAGCAAGGAATATCCAGAACTTCTTTAATATTCACGTTGGAATGCATCATCGTCAGCAGGCCAATTAATATGCAATAGATGTATGGAGCAGCGTATATACAAATACCATGATACACTCCACCAGCTCATGGCAGCATGTAGAAAGTTATAAGAGATTGAGTGAAATGTTTCATGTAACCGGAAAGCAAGGCTCTCGATAATAATGAAAGTTTTTTGTCTATACTGATGTGCCTAAATGAGAGGTAGGCCCAGGAGTAGGGCTCTCAATAACGCTGGCAGCTTCAGACTTAATGATCACTGCCCTGTCCTGTTGGTCTGCTGCGAAATTTCTGGAAGACCTGCGAGAAGAAAAGAGGTTCCTCTCACCTTCCTAGAACTTCAAACCATTTTTGTGCGTTTTTTTACGCACAAAGTTGCTGATGCATGACAAAGCAAGTTCTGCAAAAGAGTCAAAGTAAAACAGAATGAGGAAACGATGTCGGGTCGTGCTGTGGGAAGAGCCATGGCACAGGTAGTACTCCAGCGATTCAGACAGACTGTGGATACTATTCCGGTTGTTATGCTAATGTAGAAAGTCTTTAAAGATGCTGGAATCATTTCAATATATGGCGCACGTTTTAGCCTTCAACCGATTAACACGTCCCATCTTGATGAGAAGACAGTCCGTTAATAAATCGATTACATAGAAATGAATTACCGCAATTATTTTAATATAGCACAATTGATTCAACAGATATGTACAGAGATTCTGCTTGCATGTGTTAGTGTGCGTGTGCTTTGGTATGTTTGACGATTTGCTTCATCTTCCAATGTTGTGAATTTTCCGTAAAAAAGTTTTTCAAATTTCTTAATTTGCGTGTGATTGTTTGCTTATACCATTTTTGTTGTAATAAATAGTATGTTATTATTGTTATTGTTATTTTAAAATCATTTCTTCTGTTAACATATGTACGTTTTGTGTGTAAATTAGTTAAAATTATTTTTTTATTTCGCTTTTTTTCTAAATTGAACTATTGAATCATAACAATCAACTTAATCATTACTAGTGCTCCACATGGGCGACACATACACACGAGTAAGTAGATACATACATACTCGCATATGCACATATGTATATGTTTGCTTTCCATCAATTCAACTGTTGCCTTTCGCTGTTCAACGCTCATTCCTTACGGTTCATTTTAGATTTTCATATAACTTTTCTCGCAAATTCGACTATTGCATATTTTTAGTATTTTTAATATTTTTAATATTGTTAATACATTTTAATACTTTTTTACATTTATTACAAACCCCTTGAAGTTTTGCTTAACTAATATGTTTATAAAACAATTATATTTATTAATAGTTTTATCTCGCAATTTTCAATATTTTTTAGGTTTTTTTTTTTAATTTTACGCACAACTGTAGTTTTTTTTTTGACATTTTATTTCTAATTTCAAAATAGTTTCAACATAATATTTACACAGTTTTGAACATATGTACATACACACATTCAGTTATCGCTATTATTACACATACATATACCACTTTGTTGTTGTGTTCTTTAACACTTGTCTACTTATATTTAATTGACTAAACCGTAAAAATCTGCAATACAAATACAAACTGCGTGCTTAAAATGATGTAAAAAATTATTTTTGGGAATTTCAAAAATAAATTTCAAATAATTTTCTTTTGAGTAGCAGAAATTGAATTTTTCATGGTGTTTAGGGGCCATTGCAGGTGAATGGCTTGCCACAACCTATTTGCTGTTCTTGACTAATATCCATTTTATTACCTGAGCACTACTTGTTGTTGCACAGGACATAACATATTTTATTATTTTACTTATTTTTATTATTGCATTTCGCATGTGACTTTTTAAAATTGAATCGAAGATTTAAGAAAATTTAAGGAAAAAAAAAGAAAATTTAAGATGCAGACACATATTTTGTGTCTCGACACTCTAGTACCTTGAAATTCTTTCGTTGTTGTTTCCGCTTAACGCTGACGTTTCAGCTGTTGCACGGGACATTGCCTTTTACGTTTCGGAAAAAGATAACTTTATCGTAAAGTTTGACATTTTTGATGTTATATACACACGGAACATCATGACATACGAGCGTTACATTTTTAAGTCAGCAGCATTGCATCAATGAGCGTCGTCCAAAATCAGTTGTTGTTCCGGAAAATATTGATGCTGTGCACAAACTGATATTACAAGATCGTCACGCGGCCTACGGTGAGATTGACACAACTATGGGCATTAACGGGACGAGCACACATTCAATGTTGTATCAACACTTGACTGTAAGAAAAATTGTTCACATTGGATCTCACGCAATTTGTCAATCGTCGGAATCGGCCACCGAAGACGGATCACTCTTTAAACATCGACCAACAAAACAATTGCCTTTTGAGCACCGTTTCCCGTAGGTAAAAAATAAACAGAGGCCTTAAAGACGTGGTTGATGCGTTCAGAGCGCATGTTTTGGAGCTACCTCAATCAGAGTAGCAAAAGTGCTTCGAGTCTTCGTTCAAACGGATGCGGAAGTGTGTAGATCTTAATGGAGAATATTTTGACAAACAATAGAGCGAATAGAGCACCGATCCCGGGATATAAAAGCCAAACCAGCACTTTTAAGTTGCAAATGGCTTATGGAAAACTGTAATGTCACACACGTGCACGGGATCGTCATTTGAGGAAACTTCGATGCTCAAAGATAGCGCACTAACAACGATTTTCTGTTGATACTATTTCTGATGTGTTTCATACATACACTATGTATGTGCACATGCTTGAATATATTCTCTTGACAATTACTTAATGTTATTTATACCCAGTTTTAAAAATATCACATGCGAAATACTTCGACACTTAAACTTTGTGACATTTAAATTGTTGGTTTAAACGTTTGGCTTACTTATTTAGTGTTTCGTTTTCACATTTTACTACACGTATTCTTCACACTGGCTTACACACATACTTGTATTATTCCTGTATTAATCTAGTTTTAACGCGTACATACATACATGTGTTTACTCTTACCTACAAACGCATATTCGTCTCTCAGTTTAATTAATTTTCCTTAACAATCCTTTTTTAATTTTATCTTTTATGCTTACAATTGCCTTGGCTGCGCCACGAATATCTTTGTGTATACGTATAATACAATACATTATTTCAAATACATACAGACACTTTTCTAACTATTATACTATTCACATATACAACAAATATTATTTTTTAGTTTTTATCCAAATCTTACTTTTCATACTTTGAATTTATTTAATTATTATATATATTTTAATTTTTTTTTCTTATCTCGTTTTATCGTATTTCTCTAATTTCTTTTTGTAGTTTCAAACGCTTGTATTAAAAACAAAAAGTATTTTCGGACATTGAAAAGTATAAAAACAGAGACTTCGTAAAAAAAGTTGGAAAAAATGCCATTAAATTAAATTAAACCTAAAAAAAAAAACGCATAAAATTGTAAATGAACTATTTTATTTAGGTACAAATCTTAAATGATTGCAAACTATTTTGGAATTTGCTATGTAGAATTCATTTAATCATTTTGTTTAATTAATCTGCATTACGTTCGATTAGTAGTAGAAGAATACGGGCAGGGGTTGGGCGGTAAGAAAAGATTCGTGTGTTTGTGTATGTGTGTGTAATTTAACTACTTATGGACATTAGATGGAGGTTTCCAAATTTTCACTTCACACTAAATTTTCTATTGTAATTACTTTTGTTGTTGCTATTATAATTGTCCTTGGGATAGGATTAATCTTTGTTTTTTTTGTGTTAAGATTTTTTGATTCTGATGATGTGTGATTTGTTTTTGGATTTTTATGACGACTTTACTATTGTAATTTATACTTATCTATTTGTTTTTGAGTGTGTTTGAAACCAATAATTTGTTGAAAGGTTAGCTCTAGTTTTATTTGTTACACATATTCATAGTTATAAATTTTACGAAAGTTTTGGTTATTAGCGAGTGTCTTGAAGATTGATATATCTATGGAGTTCATTTTTAGTTATTTTATTTTTAGTGTTAATTCAGCTTTTATACTACTTTTTGGTGATCGCTATTTATTTGCATTGCACAAAAGTTGCAACATACACATACATACTACAGACTCGCACTTAAAACTAGGGGTATGTAATTACGAAATCTTCTAGTTGCTAGCTTTTGTGACACTAAAGGTTACTTAAATACTTTATGAAAATTTTATGAAAATTAATAAAAATACACATACATACATAGATGATGAAAAATACTTAATTATTCTACAAAGCTAAAACCTTTGTTGCATTAATGAGAAAGCAACAGAAATTTCCAAAACTGATGAGATGTATTTAGAAGGATCAAATGAAGATTTCAAATTGATCAGAAGAAGAAAAACTACGTTCAATTAGCATAAACCAAGAAATTATTAACAAAATTATAAATATTAAGAATTTCTCCATACATTTCAACAACTCTGATAAATCTAAGGGTAATAAATAAATACACCGTCCATAAATTGAAAAATTGTGGGTAATTTAAATTCACGCAGCAAAGCCCATGATACAATGAATTAAAAATGGATTCAGTCTCTCTTTGCAGTCGACTTCATGGTTATCATCAAATGCCTCTGGCTTTGTCTGCCCGCCTGTTTCAAGGCAAAGATATTTTATGAAATTTTGTAAGATGACAGCAATTTATTTACTTTTCAAAGTGTTGTATAAAATTTCAAAACTTTGTTTTAAGTCGTCAAAAAATATTTCGCAGTCCCAGCACTCATAACCCCGCTAAATATATTGGCTTAAGTTGAGTATCAAGCAAGAGAAAATAACTCTGAGCAGGCACGCCTAGTGCCGAAAATTGCGAAGTGAGATTGCCTTCTAGAATTTTTGTGTTATGGAAAAGACTAAAGAGGAACTTATTTTTTTCGTTGCGTGAAACGACTGACATTGCTTTACATAATTTCAAACGGTTTAATAAAGTGAAAAGCCATTAACCCCTGCGTCCTTACCCATGGCGAAATTAAATTCGAAAATCACTCATCTGACATGCACGAAGAAATAATACAATTCCAAATAAGTTTTGTTATAAAGGAAATAACTGAAATTATTTGTAATAACAAAGGTACCTTATGATAAAAAAGGATGTTTTCGTTAGTATAAAAATATAGTTTATTCACTTTTTTTACGAAAAAATTACAACAATCAATGCTGAATAAATTTAAGATGCAATTTTTTGTTTTTTATAGTAAATTTAAATAAAAAATATAAACCTTTACTTAGGTAAATCGATTTTCTGACTATAATAATAATTTATAATGTTATAAAATTGAATATCCGCAATAGCCATCAGTTGATATAATATTTTAAATTAATTAAGTAATCTTAATGAGGCAAAAATTACGAAAAACTCGAAACTAAATAGCAAAGAATTCAAATTCATTAATTAGAAAAGGAATTGAAGCAAGTTTTAGTACCCACCATTTGGTTTTTTGAAAGCTTTGAAAGCTGTTTTAGTTTCAAAAGAAAACACATTCAATAATTAAACGGAAATTAATTCACCATAATTGTATTTAATTTTACAAAAACACTGACATTTTATTTTACAAACAAATTATAAACTAACACATATTGCTCTCGAAAAAAACAAGTTTTTTCAACTGATTTAGTTTTGTATTTTACTTATTAATTTGCTTAACTTACGTTCTTAGTAGCAAGCTTGATATTTCATATATTTCTAATTACATACAAATACATGCTCGTGTTTACATATGTATATGCAATTCAAGATTTCTGGTAACGTTGTGGCCTACAAGATGAGTGATACGATTAAATAGTAACGATCATATTTACAAACATAGAATACAACTTGATTGGCATCGATAAGACTTTCAGATGTGTTTTTATATATTTAGTACACACATACACCCTCGTATATACTCGTATGTACATACTCGTACATACTATGTAATAATATGTATTAAGCTCTAAGAAGAAACATGAAAATTAATTTTTTCTAGACATTATACATGTAAATATTTAACCTTTTCACCCAACATTGTCCATTTTACAAAAAAAAATTTTATCTTACGTAAATATCGTCCATAATATGAAATCTAAAAATGCCCAAAAACCTACAATTTGCTGCAAATTTAAATTTTTCAATTTTTCAAGGAAATTTTCGTCCAAAACAAAGTGAAAGCTGAAATAATTTTCCTCGAAATAATTTAAAAAGAAAATCTGCTAATTCCCTCCACATTTATCTCTAAACATATACATAGTATACTACGTAAATGCAGGTATTTACATATATATTGTATTTACTGGGTTTCCATTCGATAAAATTTTTGCGAATTGAAATAAATTGATGACCACTTCAGGACTGTTTTGAGACTCCCAAAGCATTTCGGCAGGAATCCATGCACGCTATATAATATAATATGTATGTATATCGTATGCTCTTTCATATCGGCGTGAATGTTTTTTTATCGATTACCATCAAGAAATATCTGTCATTATGACAACGAAGTTTTTTGAAGTTTTACCAATAAAATGTTAAGTACAAGTCAGATGACATACATACATATGTGAAATAATAAAAAATGTACTAAAAATTACACAATACCAATACAATTGATTCAGTTATTTATGTATTTTTGAACGTAATTCGTTAGTTATCAATAAACATAAAGTCGAATGGAAATTTTATATGATCGTATCGCCACAAAACTACCGTTGCCTAGATGTTTTCATGAAGCGAAACGAGTTTTCATAATCGAATATATATGTATAATACAAAATTTTTTTAATAGCTACCTTTAATGAACATATTTATACACATATACATTCATACATATATGTTTTACTTACATCTACTTATATGTATAGTTAATAATCTAATCTCGTAACTTACACATACACATTTACATATATGTGTATATATGTGTTCGCAATTTGTCTATTTCATCGTTAATTTACTTAATATTATATTGTGTGTGCTTATTTAACTATTGTAACATTATTATTCCTTCAGTAATTGTTTTATTATTCAATTTTCCCATATTCTGGCTGCTGATCTTACACGTTGTAATACTTATATGTACGAGCATATGTACGTGTAAGTATGCTGTATTTTCTGCCATAAAAATGATTCGGGCGTAATGCTTCTTTTGTTACTTTGTTGTTGTTTTTGTTTCGATTTAATGTTAATTTTTGATTTGATTTTCTTTTATTTTTTTTTTTAATAATTTTTGGATTCTACATAGCCGCTTATTCCTAGTTTTTTTCCGCACTTCGGTTGTGTTTTCATAGTTTTCAACTTTAAATTCATTCTTTTCAAGCTTAGAAGGTCCTTTAAATTTGCAATTAATGATGAAGAAGCCAAACCGATAAGTAGCAAATTAGGAAAATGAAAAATATAAAGAAACCAAAATAAAATGAACCGAAACAAAAATAGATAAATACATTAGCGTTTTCCTTGCTGATAAATTCTTTATATAAATATGTATGTATATAGTAATTGAGAATTTCAGTTAATTAAGATTTTGGCATTTACTCATCCTCCTCCTCTCTGAAGAGGTATGTGCTCCAGTAGACCAGATTGAATAACGCAAAAACCAATGGGAAAGTTATCCGTGATATAACATCGATTCTCTTTGATCTAGAACATTGTCTTTGGTGAGTGAATTATGCAGCGGGTTTTTCAAAGATACATATATACGCAAAGGAATTGATTAGTTGATAAATCGCAGTAAGTTGTTGTTTTTGGAAAAAAAATGATATATAATACTAGATACGAGTATTTGAACAAATTGAAAATTACGGAATTAAAAGAAACTTAAATTAAATATGTATTAGCATATCACAAAAATTTTCAACGAACTTATAAGAGCAAAGAAAGGGTGTTTTTTTAGACATGTAGTTTTCAATGAGGTATTACTTTTCTCGGCGTTGACATTTCAACATTTGGCAACTGTCACTTGACTTCTATACAGTTTGGTTTGTTTTTTATGTTAAACTGACTTACTCTGGAACAACGCTTGTGAATCCCGAAAGTTTATTACCAAACTAATGGTTCGCTACAATATTCGGTGGAAATCATCGCCCAGCAGAGTCGGGGATCCGAGCAACCTTGTATTGGTTTCGCACCACGTTGAGTCCAACCACCATAGCGCGCAACAATTGGAGCTGTATCCATCCACTTTATTGACGATTTATGAAAGGATATTGGTCTGTGCGCTTACAAAAGCAACACCCATAAGAATCCTCCCAAGCAAATTTGTTCAGAAATAAAGTTCTCTTTTGGTTGAAAATGTCGTGTTTGGAGTGATAATAAGTCGTTGTTGAGATGCCGTTACATCCTCAATGGGCAATATGTTTTTCCTACGAACTGCCGAAAACCAGGCGCTTCCGTTGCAGCGGTACGTAGAGAGATTGAGTTGCTTTCCACAGCTTCCTTATATCGAGCTGCCTACTAGTGTGGTCAGCAGGTGCAAGTTGGGCAGAAAATCGTTCAGCTATCTGTTTTGACTACAGCTTGTCGACGTCGAACCTTGCAAGTGTTTGTTGTCGGACATTCTTTGATATACAGAACAGTGTGCATATCTTCGAACGTACGTAACCCATTTTCCATGCCCTGGTATTGAGGTCGCCAAACACAATTTTCACATCGTAGCCGGGGTTGCGCTCAAAGTATGCTCCAGGTAAACGCAAATCAGCGATGTATTGAAAAATTTCATTGTGGCGAGACGTTAGTAGCAGCCTTTAATTTGGCAGCGGCACTTTCTCAATTAAGGGATCGGATTAGTGATTTCCTTGCAATGAAAAAATTAATTTCTTAAAGAAAACTTTTGGCAGGCACATTATCTTACGTCGTGGGCCTGTGGTGTTGCCTCCAAGGTCGTGCGATTTAGCATCGCACTGCACTCACCGACTTTAGTGGGGTTATGTCAAGTGGGCTATCACCCATATAAACCCCAATCGATTGACGTTTTAGAAGAGAATATTCGACGCGTTATTGCTGGCAAACGGCACCAATTACTGCAAAAAATGGTCGAAAATTGAGCCTTTCGACGGTCACTTGCCAGAAAGCATTTTTAACATATACACGTAATGTCAGACACTTATCTTTATAATGTATCTAAATTCTTGCTGTATTAAATCATATTCGTTTTGTACCCACTTGAAAAACGCATGTCTAAATAAAAACACCCTGATCATCGGGTTAAGCTATATAAAGCATTAATAAACCAAATAAATTAAAAAAATTTAAATAAAACATAATAAGCCGTTTTGTATTCGTCGCTTTAATTGCTAACGAATCAGAGGCTCAGCGCTTTACATATGTACATATAATATATACATATGTATGTACATACATACAATGTTAAATTGCAAAGCAGCAAAGCAAAAACCAACCAAGACCAACTGCAATTGAACTCAACTCAAATGAAATCAAATCCAAAGCAAATGAAAACTCAACAAAATCTGTAGGATCTAGCTTATGGACCACCTACCTTGTAGGAAACTTTGATAGCCAGGTCTTACAGCAGTTTGGACGTTTTGGCGGCTGCATGTGCACCTCGCATTGGCGTAACTTCTCCAGGGCCATCGGATCACCGGGATGCCGCACCAGTGGCTTCTAAATGGGCATTTTTGTTGTTGTTGGCCGACATTTTTCAATGAATGAATAATGCACAGGCACATAGTTGTGATGTTTGATATTTTTTTGTGGATAGGTTGATAACGATGATAGAGGAAGGTTTTTTGATATTGATTGTTTTTTGATTTTGATTTTCATTTGTTTAATTTGAATTTAGTTTATGAATATGTTTTATAATATATTTATGGTTTCATAATTTTTTTTTTTCAATATTTTATAGATGTATTTTTAATTTGATTTTGTTGTTGGTGAAGATTTGAAGAGGTAGGTTGTTCATGTCAATTCGAAAATGACAAAATGAAAAAATGGTGAAATAAAGAATAATTCAAATGTTAATATTATTGTAGTAAACAATTTTGCTAAGCCAATTTATTTATTTATTTTTATAAAATTAGTAGTGTGAAATAAGGAAGGAAAAAGTGTAAGTATTTTTGCTTTATGTGAATAGGTGCAAGTAAATCCTTTAAAAAGTAAATTCAAGAAGTCCCTGGGATATTTTAAATTCAGATTACCCGAGGTGTTGGTAATCACAAAACTATTTGTTTGGCATTATCCTCTGGGTTTGTCTAATAAGATCCTTCCCAATGCCTATTCGTCAGCGACAACCGACTGGATTCAATTAAAAGCCTGTTTTCATATGATTTGTGGGATCATAAAGAAGAAAATCGATATATAACGTAATTACACATAGCTGCTAAGATCTATTGAGGGAAAATATTAATGTGAGTACATGAGGTTTATGCTGGTAATTTGAAACCTGTATGCTCCGTATTGGAATCAAAATTGATAAAGAAATCGCAACCGACTAAAACCTTATTTCAAGTAATGTATGTTCGTATTGCGAAATGCATGATGCCAAGATCAATCGTACCCAAAGATAAAAGAAGGGAAATATGCCTTTTTCTGGTAAGCTCATGAGCAATTGTATGTTGATTTTCTATCCGAAATACGCCGTCATTTGAGAAACAATTCACGGAAGATTTAAGCTGAAGAGCTTACCGCATATAATGGCATAAAAGCTTGCTTTGTATTTATCAATCTGTCGAAAGTTGAGCATGAAGATTCTGTGTCTTTGCATGTGTTCGCTTCTCTGTATCAGGTGTCATTTCTTTCTTATTTTAACCCTCATGATGTTATAAAAAAGACCTAATCTATTCCAAAAAATAATAATAGTAATAAGAAATAAATTAAATAAGAAAATCATAAACACTATTTCGTCTTTTTTTTTTTTTGCTTTGTGTTTGTATGAAAGTATATAATTATGAGAATGACAAAAACCACTTAAGCCTTTAATAGAAACTAACACAGCAAAAGCGATGATAAATATACAAACATTAACTTAAGATGTATAATTAAATGTTAGTAAAGAAATTGGTGTTTAATATAGGAAAGAAGTAAGTTATTGACAAATACCATTGCGAATGTTGCATTACTGTCTGTATCGAGCAGATCTGAAGCAGCATCTAAGCTGGCCTGCTCCAAATCGCGACGTTTCTTTTTCATATTCTCCTTATGTATGTCTGCGGCCCGATCCGTATATTTTATATGTTGCATGTGATAAAAAATGTTGAACAAGAATTTATTTGTTCCACACAAGATTTGTGTGTGCGTGTGTGTGCGTGTGTTTGTAGCAGTAGTAGTAGTAGGGGGATTGGGAGGAGTGGTTCAACATGCAAAAATGACATTTGTTATTGTTTTAGTTTTGTGTTTTTTCCATAGGAAAGAATTTGGAGCAGAAATTCGCAAATAATAAAAAAATACAAATACAAACAATTATAACGGCACATGATATTTTCAAATTTACACATAATTATTATTTACAAATAAATTGTAAGACAAAATAAATAGTAAAAAAATATATATGTTGAGTTTGTTTGGAATTATTATTATACAAATGTCAGGCAAAAATAAATATCCAATTGTACACAAATACATGCGCAAAATGCGTTGGCAAATGAAGCACAAAGGGAAATTATGAAACACGGACATTTTTTTTTTTTGCATAATTAGCATTTTTTACAGTGTTGTACAGTTAAAAAAAAAAATTAATAACAATTTTTAGATCAAATTTGTTATCAATATAAAATTAAAAACAAGTAAATAATAATAATAAAGTTTTGTGTAGTAGATGTATGCGGCGAAATGAAATGGAAAAAATCAGAAAAAAATATTATTTAAAATTAATTCATAAGTAAAATGTCATAACAAAATCATGGCGCAAATTTAAAATGCAAATATTATTCGAAACGGTAAAAAAGTAGAGATACAAATAATCAAAAAAAAAAAAAAAACAATGAATTTTGTTATGATGAAGGACAAATATTCCATGAACACATTTTGCATTGAGTTATTATTTATATTTTATTATAATGAGAAGTGTGTTAGTAGGTGCATTGGACGTTGTTTTTATGTGACAATTGTTGTTAATGCGAAAGGAAGGATGAAATAAGAAAATAAAATAATTGTATTAGTAGAGTATTCTCGGCGAATTTTTATTAAATTTTATATGTAATTTAATGAAATGAAGAATATTTATTAATGTTTGAGTTTTTGATTGTAAGTATTTATTTGTCAGAAGCCGAATATTGTACTTATCTATGTATAATGTATATATTGCAATGAATGCCTCAAGTTTGACATATTAATTTTGGTTTTTTGTTCTGAAGTACATATGTATGTACACTTGTGCGTGCATATATACTTGATATTATTGAATTACATTTGAGTTTACAGAAAAAGGATACGAAAAAATATATATGTTATGAGTTATGAATTATTTTACTTAATAGAGCAAGAGCCAACCTTAAAAATTCATCATTGTCGGACGTCTAAAAATACAATTTTTAACAACACATTTGTGATTCGATGTTTCGATATCTTCTTAGTAGGATAAGACTCTAATGCTAGAACTACCCATTTTACATACGGAACAGCCATATCACCCGACCGGAAGAGCAATATGCATACAGGATTTAGCGACGCTGCTAACAGCGGCAAAATGTTGCCAGCTGCCAATGTGGTTGAATACTTTCAAATAAAACTATAATTTTCGTTAACGAATTTGATAATTTATAGGTTTGAATGTAAACGTCCATCAAATATACATACATGATCAATGTGGTAATAAATAATTAATTACGAGTTTAGTTTTCATTTCACAACAACCGTTAGAAACGGCATCGGCAAGCGGTGAGAACTTTTTAATTACATGGCGCTCTCATAAGATAGGTTGTTATGGACGGTGGGTATGTAAGATGGGTAGTTGGATTGGCTTAGGAGAATATCGCTCTCTATCTCGCTATCTCTCTCTCTTTCTCTGCAATATTTCCTCAGTATCATAAGAAAAGTCATATCCTATACTTGAAGCTTAGAATTTGATATTCCCCAGTCGTTGGAGGATTAAAAGCTCATAATCGATTATGCGGACAACCTAATTTAATTTAACATTCATATTAATACTTCAGTTCTTCTTTTATATTTTCGTTAAATCTGATAGCATGATAAAAAACTATTTCCTAATCATTAAATAATTTTTATCTCTTATTTCCGTTTATTCGGTTATATTTCTTCGATTTGTAGGATGAGATTTTGTAGTGGTGAGTTAACTGATGACAAAAATGTAATTCAATAACTTAATTATTTAGTAACTCAATTGATCGCATTCAATTAAGCAATGGTTTTGTTTAGAGTTGCATTGGACATTGTTTGTGAATTAGTAGCTTTCGCGAATAATTATTGTTAAATAATTTAAGGAACTTTGACGTTTGACAGGTCGGCTGCCTGTGGTTACGGTAGTTGTTAATAAGCTTTACTATTTCGTCTTTCTTTATCTCTCTCGCTCTCTTTTGCTTCATCTGTTAGTGGCTTTATATATACATATATGTATTATACATATGTATATGCAGTTGTCTCGTTAACTGGTTGCACGCACTCATTTGTGTGTTTTTGTGTGTTAATTAATAATGTTTATATACATAGGTGTGTATATATATAAACATATATGTACATTATTAGTATATTTCGTGTAGTTTTTGTTGTTGTTAATGTTATTTACAATTACACACACACATTCAAATACATATTGTGAAGGAAAAAATAAACAAAAATACACCATTTAATTAATACAAATACATTGAATAAGAAGCATATAAAATCTCAATTACTAGCTTTATTCAAACCTGAACGGGAGGCATAATTCACCAGCGCAAATTCAAGTAAAGCACCAAAGACGAATGTCAAACAGACGCCGGTCCAGACATCGATCGCCTTCGTATAGGAGACAGGCGGCAGTGAGGCGTTTATGCCAGACGTTTGTGTGGCCATGGTGAGTAGGGTGGTGACACCTGCAAAATATCCAATGAATTTTGACGAAAACAAAAACTGGCGAAAGGAGAACCCAAACTAACTGCCTTAATGCAATACAAATCACACAAATAATGCTTCACTAACTGAGTATGGAAAAATTATTATTCAAACCAAAGAAAAGCTGCTATGAAAATTCAATACAAAGGCAATATATTTATAACAAAACAATGTTTTCTATGTGTATTTTTTGCACTTGAATTTTTTAATTTTTTTTTTTTTATACAGAGAGAAACACTCGAACTTAAATGCATAACTGTAAATGAATGGTTTTACTCAAACGTCTTATGAACATTTATTTTCATTTGCATGATTTTTAATTTTTTTTATTTTGTCTGTGATTTGTGTGTGTGTGTTTTTCATTTGTTTTCGACTTACCCAACGACACACGTGCTGGTACGGCGCCTTGATCAAGCCAGAATGACACCCATGAGACAATGACCAACATACAGCATGGGATATAAATTTGGATTAAGTAATATGAGAATTCTCGCTTGAATAGTAGATCGACTTTGAGGCAACTGTATTCACCTATGAGTATACAAGGTATCGTACATAAAAGTCAAAACTGAAAACATTTCGTTGGGGAGCTCACATAAAATTAACCGAAAAAACAGTTATGAAATATACGCACATAAGAATGAAAAATATAAATAAATTATAGAGAGTAAAAAATGGAAAAAACTGAAAAGCTAAAACAATTTAATTAACAAAATCAAAACAATAAGATTTTAGTAGTAAAAGATTGCAGTGAAAAGTATTGAAATCATTTTATGCAGTGTTTTTTTCCATAAATTTACAATAAAAATGTCTTTGATTCTCAGAATGTTACTGTCAAGAAAAAAGAATGCACTTTTATGCTAATTCTAAATTCAAGTAAACAAAGATCATAGCGGGACTATGATTTATGAAGACAACTTAGAGTTTTCCATAACAGAAAAAGCAGTTGCAGAAAATTCATGAGAGAATTGAAGTGAAGGTTTCAGTCTGAATTTGGTAAATTTTCAGCTTTGGGAGAAATAAGAAACGGGGAAGGCTAAGGACTTTTCAACGATAATTTGGCCAAGTAGACAAATTTTTGGCATTTTGCAGCGAAAAGTAAAATGTACGTTCTTCATTGGTTTAAAAAAGTTGAAAATGGGTAATTCAACGGCTTCAATAAATCTATTATTATTTCCTTGCAAACACAACAATCAATAATAATTGGTCTCGTACTGAAAATCCATGAGCAATAACAGCTCCTCGCATTTATTAAAGTTTTATAAACATTTTTCAGGTTAAAAACACTGCAATTATAGTAGAATAAACTCAAAATAAATTAGTCAAAAATTATTAACACTTTTTCAAGTCATAGGCAAACATAAATAACAGCAGCGGTTTTAGATTTTTTTCCAGAATTTTTCTTCTTTTTGCAACAAAAATGTTAACGGAATTGAAACTTTTTTTGTGAAAATTTTTTATGTGCTACTTCCATTTTTTTTGCGACTTCAAACACACATTTAATTGTTCATTTCCGTTAATTTGTTGGCAAAGCGTTCCATACTCTTCAAGACAAAGTTGTTTATTAGTACTCATTCTCATATTTTTTGTAATTTTTTATTACAATTTTTACATTTGGTATTCAATATTTTTTAAACACTTTTTTCTTTTCTGAACATGATTTTAATACGATTTTCCCAATCTATCTCATCAATGCATCTGGCATATAGAATTGTTCTTCTAAAGTTCAATTTCAATTTGTCTTGCATTGTGATCTTTCTTCGTAGAAATCGAAAAATCGGATGGAATGTTAGAAGTGAATATATGCATATTTGAATTCTGAAAATTTTAAGAGTATTTTTGTTATTTGTTTTTGTTTAACAGTTATTATGGAGGTATGTGTGAGATCTTATGTATATTTGAATGAAGTTCATTATGGGATGTTGGCTGAGAATATATCGACTATCCATTATGTATTATTATTTTGATTTTATTTATTTTTTGTTATTTTTCTCAGTATTTCTACTTTATTTGGTATGCCAGTGAATGGAGTGTTAAATTGCTATTAAGTTTCGGCATTCGAAATGCTGTTGTAATGTTGTGGAAAAAATGTCTACTCAAAATGGACTCTACAACTTAGTGTTGCTATGGACATCTACAATTTTCTAAATAAATGATTACGACGATTAAATTACCTAGCCACACATCATAAATGCCATGTGCTGAGAAATTAATATCTGTTGTTGGTTAGTTTTTTCAAATAACTTTACTATTTGTTTAAAATTAATATTTCTCTTGTTTTTATTTGGTCAAACTATACTTTAAAATTAATAAACAATATAAAATTCTAAGATCTTCTAAAATTAACAAAATTATAATTATCGCTATTTAAATATTTTTAAACGAATTGTGTTTGAATTTTGTATAACATCCTTCATGCTTGCTTCGAACTCATAATGCAAATTAGTTCAAAATATATTTTTAAAATTATGGGCAGTTTTGTTTTCTAAATTTAAAAAAAAAATAAGTACAGTTTTGTTTTGTATTGTTCCGAATATGATGTAGATATATCGAATTTTCGATGCAAAGTTGGTCGAATTTCAAACGGGAAATATATTTAATTAATTTTTATTTAACTGAAACCTACTCCTTTCAACGCGAGAATATTTTTACTAATTCGTCAAATTTAGTTGGACATCGGATAATCAGAGGTGAACAATTTTTTCTATAAATTAGGATCTCGTATAACAGTTTCTTTGTTCGCGCAGTAAGAAGGTTGTCGGGGACTGTTCAGCGACTCATAATTACTAATAAATACCAAGTTTCATTGTTATTACACAATTAGACTTTGAAATGTCGTCAACTGCGCAACATAATATAGTGGAATACGTAAAGAAATCGAAGGGCCTTACCTAGCGAAGAATATCAGTTACGACCATAATTAATGAGTTGTCATTAGTTAACGACTCTTGTCCGTGAAAACCTTTGATTTCCAAGTGGCACAGCCCGGGTAGGTGCATAAAGTTAAGCACGCGAGAATTCACCCAAAACCACTTTGGAGTATCCGTTACAAGAATTTTTAAAATCCTGCACATTCATCTCGGCATTACTAAGGTCAGCGTAAGAAGGGTGCCGAGTGTTTATTGTCTGTTACCAAAACTGAAAAAAGTCCGGAGGATTAAAAATTTGTTCACCGATGATGAATTCAAAAATTCAAATCTGAGATATTTTTTGAGGTTACAAATAAGTTAATTGGAAGATCTGAAAATCTGTACTTTGCATTTTTTATTTCCACGAATATAAAAATTCTCCCTCGTAAGTATTTTGTGTGTATTGACGGATGCAACTTATCGTAAAAAACTAAAGGTGGTTTCCTGCCCGTGCAGAGAAGCTCTCATGGTTCGATTCTGAAATTATTCTTGCAAGGACCTTGCAATATTTTTCCCCCCCCCAAATTAATGGATTTTGAATGGTTGTTGAAATTGGATGCAGACTTATTATTATTTCGCCGAGTTAAAAATTACTATTAAATAATTATTTTAAGAATATAGATTTATATAAGAAATGCAAAAAAAACTATTGCTATTGAAAACTCATATGAATATTTAGCTTATTTTATATTGTATAAACCATGCATTTCGAGAGCCTAGTAAATACTGATGAAATAAAATAAATATATTAATTTTCGATAAATGATAGAGTAAGTGTAAACCTATTTCGCTCTAAGTGGGCAAAGTTGGGAAAAAAGTTTATAATTGCAAAAAGTGCTTAGGTTTCTAGCTTGGTTACCTAAAACGAGCGGAGCGAAAGCACAATTTAAAAGCTATTTAAAGTCATTCGCAGAGAGCGGCAATTTTTCTACCGTCGATCTCGTGACTTGCATTAACCGATCTTTGTATGCGCTCTTACCCACTTATGCACTGTTAATATTTCTCTTCCATCCGTTTTTAGTATGAATAACTATGTATATAATTGGAGAGTAACATAACATGCCATACTAAATGATTTTTAAAGTCTGTTATGCTGATATTGAATTACAGTGTGCGTTCATTGAAAAAGGGTGTTTTTTGAGGATATTTGGTTTCCAAGAAGATATTAAACGTTTATAATTTAATGTTATGGCCATGAATTTAGCTTTGTTATTAAGTTAAGGGCTTACCATTATGTTCAAAAATTAAAATTACTATGATATTTAAAATTATTATTTCGGCAAGATACCGCCTCGGTTGGCTCGAATAAATACCAGCCAAGATGCCAGGTTTACGACCACTTTTTCAGCTGTTGGACCCGTATGCCAACAGTAACACACCACGAATCGTCTTGAGTTTATCTGCGTAGATAAGCGTCTTCACGTAAGCCCACAAAAATGGTCCAGCGGTATTAAATCACACATGCTACAAGCCCACGACGCGAGCTAATGCTGTCACCAAAAGTTTCCTTTAATAAATTGATTGTTTCGGGCTGTATGTATGTCATGTACCGCTATCTTGTTGGAACCAAATGTCCTCCACATCGTTGTCCTTCAATTTATGCCCATTTTGGACTCATTTACCGAACGTACGATGCGATTGATGATCTTTCGCTTTAATTCGAGCACGAGCTGGATTTTGTAAGCCGGCAAGCCACAATTCTTCCATAAAGTTCCCATTGTACGTCGCGTGAACCTGACCATTACTTCGGTTATAAATTTGCACAATTTACAAACGTTGTTCCGAAGAAATCAACTCCGAAAAAGTATAGCCTCATTGAAAACCACGCGTCTAAAAAACACCCTTTCCCAAAAAATGTTTTATATGGGATTTTATTTCGTTTCGAAATTCACCACTGCGGGAGTAGTTTAAATTTTTTTTTTTTTGTTCTACAAATGAATAATGGTTTTATGCATAATATATTTTTGTTTATTGATTCAGGACTACAAATCTCAACGGCTTATAAAGGCTGCTGGGTCTACTTGAATTAATCAATCTGAAAAGTGTTGTGTTGGTGTTCACAGGTAAGTATTAATTTATGTATGGGAACATGCAAGTATGCATGTGTATATATGTGTGTAATATGTAGGTGGGCGTTAAGCATTATTATCGCTATTTTGATTAACAAACAACTTCTTCTTTGCGTAATTTGGTTTTGGAATAATTGGAAAATGAAATGAAGAAATGTAATTATATAATAGATAATATTATAAGTAAGTGGCAAACAAGCACAACGGAAGAAACATCAACAAGTACATTAATTGGAATGTTAAATATATTTGGGTTACATAAAAGCTTTAATTAAATTATTTAAATCAATGAAATTAGTAATGAAGTATGTAATTGTCGCGTGAAAATAATTTACTATGGGTTTACTAAAGTTTTTTTTTTTTGTTTTTTGATAAAATATTATATTATGCGTATGTTTAATAGAAAATATTTGCTATGAGACAAATTTAGCTTGCCTAAGAAAGCAATTTGTAATTTTCGATTTCTTTCGTTTATAAAAACTTCAAACGTCATCAAAAATAGAAATGGGGGAATTAAAAAACATACCCGTATTGGTTTTACTGTTGCAGTAATCAGTCAAGAATTTTTCAAGAGTGAAGCGAGGTAGGTGTAAATTCTTAACCACTTGCACTGGATCACCCTCCTTCCATAGGAATACCAGATCGTTTGTTGTCCAACCATCTGTGGAAAATTGAATGAATTCCGTGAGTATAAAAAGTATTAATGTATAAATGAAAATCTCAGGCGGTCCCATAAAAAATTCCCAATTTATATTGAGTGACTAGAAGAGTTCATTTAGTCATGGCTTTCAGTGCATCCGTCCGTTTGATGAAACTGGATCGAAACTACACATGCCTCTCATATACATAAGTGTGAAATATAAAGGCCACGATTCCTTTCATAATTAAGTATTCAATAATGGTCAATTGCAGTCATAGTCAGAGTGATTTAATTTTTTACCAATAACTTCGATTGATGCCAAATCCGACTACGGTTTTGAATATTAAGAATATGAGCCAAAAATTTTGACCATCAACTGGAATAAAATTCCAAAATGGTTCACTAAGATTTTTAATTCATTTTTAAGTTATTTACTTTACTCTTATACTGAACTATTTTTTAGCCAAATATCAAACAAAACAAACCATAGTTATGATTATTTTGGGGAGATCAGTCTCGGAAACGTTAAGCTCCCTCGCAAAAAATATTTGCTCATAAATTTAGGCCCAAAACATTTCTCTGTGCCAAACTTTTTGTAAATCAAACGATAAATACAAATTTTTCGAAGAGATCAGTCCTGGGTCCACTTCCCGAAAAATCCTTTTTTGTCGCATGCATACGTTATACTCAGAGTAAACACTCCAAAATTTACATCTTTACGATCAGTAGCTTATGCTGTGGATTGATCCGCCAGTCACTCAGGACAAAGCCTATTATGTATATATGTACATAGATATTTAGGAGGTAAGAACAAGTAATGGAGGCTCTTATAGTGGAGTGGTTGGTGCAGTAAGTACTACTATTCCGAAGGCTAGGCTTCGAATGTCAATGCCGGCTTAGAACCAATTGTGGGAAAAACTTCAAGACCCAAAGTACAATAGCTTAATGTTTCAAAATAACAACAAATATTGAAAACTCTACATTATTTATTATTATACTTCTTAATATTTTTGCACTTACAACTCGCCATGCGCAGTGAGCAAATTTGTCGATCCAATGGATAGAGTTTTAGATTCATGGGACATGCCAGCGTCAATGAGATACGAATACTATATAATACGGAGCCATTAGGAAAGATGCGTATATATACATTTGGCATAATTATATTGTGAAAATGACCCTCCTTTTCATTGGAGAAGAACAAATCGGGCATCCAAACTCGGTTTGCTTCAGTCAAAGTTAGGTACTTAAGACGACCTGCAAACAAAAGGAGGGAAAAAATATTATATAATATATATTTTAAAATATTTATGATTGGAAATATTATGTAACTTCATCAACTGTGAAAAGCATTTGAAATATAAAATGAAATTTACTATATTAAGTCTTTAAACTTTTACAAAATATCCATTAGAACTATTTAAAATTATAAAAGTGGTATTAACTATTGATGAGTGCATATGTTCGTGCCCGATTCCGCTGGATGCCGTTCGAATCGTTTGAGAGTGGCGCTCGTGAAAGAAATATATACATATTATATATCGTTGGAAAGGTGACAGTCCGAACTGTAAATCAAGCATAAAATAACTTCATTTTGATTTGAGTTGCTTAGTGAAAAGACGCATGGAAGATGGACAACGAAAAAGATCATATGCGTCATATTATGTTATACGAATTCCGCAAAGGAAAAACAGTAGGCGCTGCAACTAAAGATATTCGCGAAGTTTATTTGGACCGTGCTCCAGCACTCCGCACAGTAAAGAAATGGTTCGCGAAATTTCGTTCTGGAGATTTTAACCTCGAAGATCAACCTCGCAGTGGACGGCCTTCTGAGCTTGATGACGATGTTCTAAGGACTTTAGTTGCGAATAACTCACGTATTTCGACGGAAGAGGTTGCCAGTGAATTGAACGTCAACAAATCAACTGCGTTTCGTCGTTTAAAAAAGGTTGGGTACACTTTGAAGCTCGATACATGGGTGCCACATCAGTTGAGTGAAAAAAACAAAGTGGACCGTATGTCAACAGCAATTTCTTTGCTTCGACGGATCAAAAACGAACCTTTTTCGGATCGGCTCGTGACTGGTGATGAAAAATGGATCCTGTACAACAATGTTCAACGCAAAAGAACATGGAAACAGGCACATGAAGGGGCGGAACCGATTTCGAAAGGTGGATTGCATCCGATGAAGGTACTGCTGGGCATTTGGCGGGATATCCGAGGCGTGATCTATTTTGAGCTCTTGCCATCTGGAGAAACGATCACTGCCAACAAGTATTGTCAGCAATTGGTCGAATTGAAGAAAGCAATTGATGAAAAACGTCCGATTTTGGCCAATTGCAAAGGAGTTCTTTTCCATCATGACAACGCCAGGCCACATGTTGCAAAACCGATCCTGGCCAAACTGAAATCATGAAAACATGCCGCATCCCCCATATTCACCCGACATTGCACCTTCTGATTATCATTTGTTTCGATCGCTGCAGAACAATTTGAATGGAAAAAAATTTAAAAAGTGGATGGCGTCAAAAACCACCTTGATACCTTATTCAATAAGAAACCGCGAGATTTCTATGAATCAGGCATCCGCAAATTGGTTGAACGTTGGGAGTGGATTGCCGAACATGATGGCGAATACATAATTGATTAATAAAAGAGCTTTCTTCAAAAAATTTCAATTTTAGTTTGCACTTGAAATCGGGCACGAACTTATGCACTCATCAATATTATTGTTTCAGCGCGATTCAAGTTCGATGCATAGAGTGGCGGATACACTCAGGTAATGGATTGTGGATCACTTACACGTATAATCTGAAAAAATGTTGTATTTGAGATAAAGACAAATTCAGAAATTTGCCTTGAAAAAGCAAGCCATACTAACAAATTCTAATATGTTTATTATGTTCTATAGCCGTGAGTTATACTAAGAAGATGAAGTCCGCTCTAACTTGTTGTGTCTTGTAGTCGGTTAAGCGCCATACTCTAGGAAAAGCCTAAGCACTCTTCTATTACTTTTCCAGGATGTATTAATATTATTTATCATTCCTTATATATTTTCTATGATACTTCAATATATTGTAGAAAAGTTATAGGATAATAAACGTGAACAAAACTAAGCTACATAAGAAGATTGAATGCCGCTGAATAGGCAAGTCGGAAGCTTTCTGCTTGAGCTGGGCTTTGTATAAGAGAAGATTTCAAAACTGAACTATCAAAGTTGTGTTGGGCAGTGTTCTAAATTGGAGTTGAACTGAATCCATCAAAATACGATTACTCGAAATGGCTACAAACACGATACGAAGAGTTGAGCTTTTCAAAGATCGACACGCATCATTTTGTTTTATAAAACATTTTCTTTATAATCTGTATTGACTAAAGTGTTATTTGTTATAATAATTTTTTTTAATTTTGCCTCTACAATCAACAATATCCTTCACTTTGTAGTGCCGTTTTCCCCTAAAATAAAACTTTACAGCGACTATCCTTGAGTAATTTGAGCTTTCACTGTAAGCTTCAACCTTATACGGGCTTCCACAGCATCATAAATCACATTGCTCGCCCTCACAATTACCAGCGCGAATCACCACATTCACGCTGCAAGTAATTTGACAGTTCTCCGTTTCGCTGATTAAATTCCTTTGTTTCATTAAAAGTTCTAAAATATGGATTTGTCTTGGTGATTAAATCAGCGCAATTAACAGATACAAAGGTATACTATCATCCTCTGCCTATAGTTTCTACAAGTTTAGTCCGTCTGGATTTCAAACCGTCTTTAATAATTTCTTATTTTTTCAAATAAAATTTAATGTTTTTGTGCTCTCGTTTATAGGGTTACCCTGTTTTACCCTGTTTTATCTTGATTTATCAGCTGATTTTGACAAATTTCCTTGAAAACTTTTAAAATGCAAGGTGAATTAGAATGAATTGCCTACTTTTGGCTTAGTTTTCGAAAAAAAAAAAAATTATTTTCAATGGAATTAAATATATCGGTGTGAGCGAGAATTACGAAGGAGAGAGCAAACAACGTAATTGGGGTGCCGTGGAAAGGCCACATTGAACACATAAGTTTATATATGTATATATGTTTATATATGTAAGAACAAGCAGTTATTGTAAATTGGTTTTTCACTTTACCTTGAATATCGTCGAATTTCAGCCGTTCATCCGTCCACTGCTCACGGAATGTCAATTGCACGCTGTATTCCTATACGCCAACGCGCGTACACACACACACACATACACACACAAAATTGTCGATTAGTAAAGTTTATCATACATTTGAAATTATATTTATATTATTGATTTCTAAATATGATTATGTAATACTATGCTACAATGGATTGTTCTAATTTATTTTTGTTCTCTTTTTTCGTGGGGGGAATCTATTGCGCTCGTACGAATTATTTTGCCTGTAATTTGCAAGAAATGAGGCGGTAATGGGTCAAATAGTTAATGGTGATTAAAATTTTTGATGAATCTAAAATGGGTAATGCGAAATTTTTGAGCTTTTTTCAAAGAATTTGTATCGTTTGGAATTTTGCATTTCACTTTTCGTTTTCTACTTAATTTTTTGTACTTGGGTATAGTCAATTGTTTGATTGGATTACGAATTGAGTCGAATTGAATTGCATTCAATAATTAACTTTTTTCGTATTGTAGTGTTGGTGTATGGGCGCCTAATTATTTTAAAGAAAAGCTGTTTTTGTTTTTCTTCATGTTTTCGAAATGTGCCGTTAATCGGGATTGATTTTTGATTTTGAATTTTTTGTGGGTATTTTAAACGGATTTTTTTTTTTTTTTGAAGCGGTAATGATGATTCAACTCGACGTTAGAATTTTTACGCAAAAATAACTGTTTATTAAAACATTTAAAAATATATATATGTAGGTCAAGCAATTAAATCGGTAATAGGCAGCAGACAAGCAGGGGTACAGGTTTATATGCACAAATGCAACATCAAAAGCGAAAGGCGAAAGCGTTTAGCAGCAAACGTTATTTGGTTAGTACGATTATACAATATAAGCATTATGTAAGTATGTATATTATATAATGTTAAAAGCCTCATGCAGCAGTTAATGCAGTGACATTCCAACAATCATTCTTATGCAATTAATATTAATATCATTCAGCACGAAAAAAAACGTTACATAAATTATCAAATAACATAAATACTCTTTTGAATACATACATACGTATAAGAATAAATCTCTTAGTGTAAGTAATTGTACTAGGCGAATATAAATTTTTAATGAAAGCTAATCTGATAGAACTTAGAAAAGTATAGAAATAGCCCACATACACTTTACTCCTCTCCTTTTTAGGGGAAAATGTTATATGAATGAGTTTGTATTATTATACGAGTATCTCGAAACTTTGATAAATGTATCTACATAGTGCTAAGCATACGCATTTTTTTAACATTTCGATTATGTAAAACTTCCATATGGCTGTCATACCAGTGGCTTTCAAGGTGATAGATTTAGAACAAGAACGCCCCCTCTATATGAAAGATCCTGTGCATAAATAAATCAATAAAATCATATTATCTTCAAATCCTCAGATTCCTCTGCGTTTCAGTACCTACCGTGATAATAACTTTTGTAGTTTTCGTTAAGTTTTAGTTTTTTATGCGAAGTTAATAATAGACCCTAGATTTGATGTTGCCCCGGAACCTTCCGCTTATTTGAAATCCCATAATTTTACTGTACAGTAGAAAGGGAAGTTTTTGATTTCATGTTAGAAATACATGGAGGGGCGACCGCAATTAGAAAAATGAATATTCTATAATTTTGGATGTTGGTCGAAGCCATACTGGAAACTCTGGCCTTTCGTATGAACTCGTATTATCCTGATATTTTCAATTCTAACGAAACATACGAAGTGTGCTCAAAATATAAAGCCAATTCGAACCATTTTTTTATTTTAATCTCTTCAGTTGTAAAACCAGACTTCGCCAACCGTCGAAGCTGTTCTGATATCCCTTTTATGTTTCGGGACTTGGCAGCCCTAGTGTTGTAATCTGGCAACTGACAACTATATCGTAAAGCTCGACATTTATGATGTTATACCCACTCGGATCGTTTTTGACATTCCAGCGATATTTGTGTTTTACGAAATCTGTCCCAATAAAGCTGACTCAATGATCGATAAACACAGTCTATCGTTCAAAAATGAGCTCCTTGAAAAACAGAAAATTGTTGAGCTCGTAAGATATTTCATGACTCTCTCTAGCAAATTAAAACTTTATATTACAAATAGATCAAACTGTTAACCAACATATGTAAGTATCGTACATGTGTTCGACATGAGTATCAGAGTGTTTGCTCACCCAATAGGTATGTAATCGAATGTTCTTATACGACTTTGAAAACTCACTTTATATTCTGAGCACACCACGTATTTCCATTATTTCAGAAACTGTGTATTTTCGGGATGTTCGTTATGAAGATTTTAAATTTACATCCCGATGTCCGTATGTACGTATATTATTTTAACCCTTAGGCCATCACTACAAATTTGTTATTACATGCACATTTCCATGCAACACTTATTTATGTATGTATATGTTTAGTTAGTAACATGTATAGTATTGGAGTAAAAGGAAAACACAAACAACAGAAAAAAGTTTGTAAGGCAATTCATGAGAAAGAATAACAAAATATTATTGATATTGTTGAAACTAAATAAGCAAAATTTGTCTTTAAAAATAAAAGTAAGAAATTATTTGAACAAAGATAAGCTAATAAATGAAACGCTTAATAAATACAGCCGCTGTATGTGAAAAGCGATATCCCTTTGTAACCAAAAAAAAAAAAAATCCTATCAAAAAACTCGGAAGCAATTTAAAGGGCTTCAACGTTTGAGGGATAGCATAATAAAAGTAAAATTAAAAATAAAAGTTATTACTTTTCTGTTTGCACTTATATTGTTACAGTTTTAAGGTATGCCGTTGTCTTTTGAAAGCTGAAAATTGTTACTATAAACTCACTGTTAGTTGATGGCATGTTTTTTACATCGCTGTCCGTAAATATTTTTAAACATTTTAATCAAAACTAAGAAAACTTGAAAAAAATTATCAGGAATTACAGTATTTGTTTATCAAACTGAAATAAAAAATGAAGAAATGATGATTTATGTGCGCCTGCCTATACGTTATGTAAACTAGATTACTACATACATAGGCATATTACATAAATATTGCATTTTTTTTTTTTGATATTTTTTACTTAAAATGTAACTTACTTTTTACATTGAAATTATAAAAAAATTAACAAGCTTTGTTCTTTGTCGACTTGTATATTTATATAGTTTATAGTTATTTGCAAATAAATACATTTGTGTATTTTTTATATAACAATTTTTGTCCTTAGCAAATAAAGTTTGTATTTATGTATAATTTTTAATTTTCAAAAATTGCCGTTTCTGTTATTGGTTATTGTGGTTCTTTTAGTTAAGCACATGTTTTGCTGTTTTAGTTTTAGTGTTATTATTATATAATATAATATCATATTTATTAAGCAGTTATGTAAATGTATATATATATTTTTTATTCACTACTTGCTTGTGTGTTTAGCATTTTGACTCTTCAAGCTTAGACAATAAATTAATATGTAATTAAAAGAAGGGTCAGTTGGTGTTATTGTACAAAGTGTACATACAAAATACATACAGATGATTGAATGACGTGAAAAGAAATGCCAGTGGAGACGTAAGCATGGGGGTGAGCTTGTGCGACTTATGGCTTCCGTAAAAACACTAAATAAAACGCTAATAAATCAGTTGAAATATTATTTTGATAATCAAATAATTCTAAAACAATGAAAACTCAATGATTCCAACGAAGTATTTTAAGTGCAAATGAAGGCTAATCGTTAACTGATTAACAGACCCTTACAAGCCAATTTAAGGAGTTTACATCAAGTCTGCATCGTAGCAATATATTTCACGTTAATCAAAAGAATGTTATACCTTCGGTTGAAGCATTAAAAAAATAAATTTTATTTCGATTTCACCCGATGCGACGTATCGCCTTTAATTTTAAATCGTTAGCTATTTTTAAACAATATCTTTTTTATCCAATTTGGCGCTTAGCAACTGCCATCACACACTTTGCAAACTCAACTAACCCTAAATATTATTTCATACAATTATTGAGCCAATAATATTGTACAATACGTATATTTTTTGAATATACTTAGCTTCGAATAACTTTATTTTATGTGTCGAAAATTCCTTTGTTTGTTTTCCGAAAAGATTATGGAGTTATTTTTGTCTATTAGGTTGTCCAGACTAAAATTTAAATTCTTTTCATATCATTCAGTTTTGCACTAGTTTCTGAAGACAATTCCAAAAATCGTATTTCTTTAGTCTTTAGTTGAAAGAAACATTTTTTCAAACACTTGAATAAACGGGTTATATACAAATTATAACAACAACTAAACTCGTGATAACAGTATCAGAAAAGGACACTTTACGCATCCCTTTTCTGCCCCTTAGTCAATGCGAGAGGAAATATATAATTCTAATAACAATTGAGCTGGAATATCTACTGTTAAACAAACAGAATCTTCTTTCCGAAGTCACATATCACAAGTTGTCGGCAATTTTGTCAACAATAACACTAGCAACAATGACCGCCTTTGAAATCCAACGCGGAAGCACTCCTGGCAACAGCTGCTACTTTGAACTTTGGACTTTCTCGATAACCAAACTCTGACTTCTATCACTTTCAGTATTTTGCGCAGGGTTCAGAAATTTTCATATGCATATGAGCGCTCATGAATGAGAATTTCGAAAAAAAAACTCCTTTCTCACAATCACTTTTGAATACAAAGGCATTTACCAGCTATCATCACCGTTGAATGTGTATATTTTTTTTTCTGTAGCTCATACGTGAAAAGAAGGAAACAATTTTTTTTTACTTACAGACAGAATACAAAAAAGCTTACTTACTGCTCGTTCATGTATGTATGGGAACGTTTTTGGTTTTGCGACCATTTCTGTATGTGTGTATATTTATTTACTTCATTGCTGCTCAAAAGTAGAAAATTAAAAACGTTTGCTTGGAAATAAGTGGAGATTAATATTTAGGTGATGTTTTACCGTTAGGTAAGTTTTTTCCACTTGTTTCTGTTTTTCAAAAACAGAAATATTCAAAAGTCCTTCATAACTACTTATTCATGAAAACAATCGAAATTCAAAATAATATAGCTCAGTACGTTACATATGTCTTTTAATTGATTCGTTCAATAAGATAAACCATATAAATACAAGTTTTTGTACTATATCTCCGATATCGAAATTCAGCTTTGTTATGAGTAAATTAGAAAAAGTTTCGTTTGAAAGTGTCGACCTAAACTTTGTTAATATTTTAGATAATGCGCTAAATGAACGTTTCACAGAAGCCTGAGTACCTGAGTAGCAGGCACGGCTGGTATAGTCTGTCCACATGATTTCCGCCAATATGTATTCACACGGAAAACTAGCTTATTGTAAGCATTCGCTGATGAAGTGAGAATGTCGTCTTGGGAACTGTAGTTTTATGAGTATGAATCATTAATTCCAGCTGATTTGAATTATTATTCCGTGTTTTTCACCATTTCCTTTACTTTAAGCAAATGATCCTTTAAAAATATATTTAAAGTATGAAACTTAAATCTATGAACATACATATGTAAAATAAAAAATATCGCTCCGTTTCAGCTAAACTAGCCAAATTTCTAAATGAAATGTAAGAATTATTTTCATTACTGTACTTTGCATAAAAAATTGCCTAAAAAATAATAAATAAATAAGTTGTCATATATATAACCTGGAGTGGAAGGTAAATTGGTTTTCATTTTCTCTCTTTTGAACAGCAACGATGAAACTAATATAATCATACATGAATGAGCAAAAGCAAAACATTATACATTTTTTGAAACATGTATGAGTAGCAGGTTGAGAAAACTAAAACGTTCGCATACGAGTACATACATGAATGAGCAATGAGTGAGAAATTTCGTACCCTGTTCATATGTGAGGCACAACAAGAAGAGATCTATGTTGTAAAGATCAATGCAAGACCAATTGTTAGTAGGGATCGGGCGATTATTTCAGTATTTGATTCCTAAATTTTCAGTACACCAAAAAAAAAAAAACTGAGTAAAGAACTATGATGAATGTTTTCTGATTCTGCTTAAATAAAAAAATTTTAATGAATGTTTATATTATGTTGATATTAATTGCGTTTACCAATTCCATTTATATTTAGCTTAAATGGTCTAATTTGCCGAATTTGCAGAAACTGAAATGGGTTCAATAAAAACTAAAAAACTTTTAAAAACATAAATGAAATGTAAATGAGAAAATAGGGAAAATGTGAAAATACAAAGTTAAATCCAATTAATAAAGATGCAACACGATTTAGATGTGAAACAATTTTATCAAATGTTCCTTGTGACGTAACGACATACAATTAAAAATCAAATACGTATGAATATATAGAAATATAGATGATATGATATGCAGTGGGATAATTGATAATCGATAGACATTGGTTAAGGTTTGTGTTGATTAGAGGTATGGTTTAGTTACAATTTACAATGTACGTGTACTCGAAACAAGCGTTGACATTAAATTTAGTTACAGTTGGAAAATTTAGAATTCAGAATGTTCTAACTAAAGAAGAAGAGTAAGAAAAAATATAATTTCAAACATAATTTTTTTGAAAAATGCTTCAAAACTTATCCAAGGATAATACACACTTTAATTTTACATTAAATATTTATTCTTGTATAATACAAATACATTGATATTGTTCATTATCATATACAAATACATATACATTAGTTACTTGGCTTTCATGATTCATATCAATTACGATTAATTAGTAATGGAAATTCATAAAATTAATTCAAACCAAAAAACGTATTTATAAACTCATATTTTTATTAACAACATAAAAGCAGTTATTTTTCGCCATCTTTTATAATAAATAATTTACATATTGAAAACTTATTTGCTTTGGTGGTGGCTGTTATTACAAGTGGTGAAATTGTTTGGTGATTGGAAGTGAAAGCTCGAGTGGCTGAGTAAACGGGTTGTTGTCAATTGAGAAAGCGTTAAACATTAGGTGTTAAGCGTAAGCGCTAAAAGGAACGCTTTTTAGTCTTTCGAACGTGGAGGACAGGCTATACATATACTGCTGTCCAGCAGCTGTTTGGGAATATAAAACAGTTTATAAGTTCTAATTTTAAAAGCTGTTAGTAGTAAAGTGAATAATTCTCAGCACTTTTTCACATTATTACTCAGGGTATTTTGAGATAACTCATCAAATGTGCCTATTTGTTTTTATTACAATGCAGATTTAGCTTTGCGTCAGCAGTGTTTTTGGTGTGCCGCAGGTTATTTGCTCAAATGTGCTTGTGTAGAAAAGTTGATTATTTTTCCCCAAATTTTATAAAGTGCTATATCATTTTGTGGTTTTTAAATATATTAATAAAGCATTTTTCAGTTCCAGGTTTCCTTGTAAAATACCAAATTTCTAACTTTCTCAGATGAGGAACTGCTTAGCAAACACAAAATTATTCTTTCGAAAGCTCTTGTGCTGTACCTGTGAATGAGTCTTGCAGAGTATGCCTAATTAGATCGTTGATAAGGAACGTTAGGCATTTGCAAAAGTAACTCAGAGTAGAATTTAAAACCGAATTCTCCCCGATGTTTGAAAGAATGCAAATATTTTATAAACGAAATGTTACGCGCAGTTTCTTTGATAAAAAAGTACTTGTTTTTTTTATATTTTTTAACTACCGCCGTTCTAATATTTATCTATAAATAGGTAAGCAAGCAATTATTCTCTTTGAATGTTTGCAACGAAAGATTTCACTAGTCTTCTGGTCTATCACTTCTTCTTTTTCGGTTTGTCTCTATCCAATTTTTATCACTCATATATGAACGGAAGGTGTGTCAAATATTTGCATGAAATCAACTGTGCCTACGAAGAGTTTATTTTTGAACCAGTTGCAGCTTGGACTGAACTGTGCTGATCTAGAGATTTTTTAAGGTAAAATATTTCGGCTGCATATTCGGTGAAGTAGCATTAAAAACCACTAAATGATTATTATAGCAAAATTTAAAAGAACTGCCAATGGAATTATTAACACTTTTTCATATTTAAAACTTCAGTTAGTTGAAACCAATTTTGTTAAAATCATTTTGTATTCCGTATTGTGATAAATATTTTTGCACTGCTTAACAATTGGAAAACTCACCATTTTATAATCATCGATTTTTGAGATTGACCGTAGAAACATGTTGACATAGACAAGTGTGGGCGCATTTTCTAGAATTTCACATTCGAATTTGACTATTTAGTAACGGTTTTATCCAAATGTGTAACATAAATCAACAAACTGTTTGCTGATTAATGAAAAATACTTTTAAATACATATGTATATAAGGTACTTAGTTACATATGTATATAAAATAATAAGTTTTTTTTTGAAAAAAAAAAAATAAATTTAAATCTTTTTTACGTAATTTAACATAAAAGTATTTTTTTTTCAATGTTGGAAAAATTGTATTCAAAATTAAAGTTCCCACGAAATAAATATACATACATATGTACCTGTGAATAAAAAATATATATGCACCTCTTACTCAATAAATATAAGTATATAACGGATCTTACACGTAATTAAGGTGAAGTTTTAACGGTTTCAAAATTCAGAGGTTTAAATAAAAAAACTTTTGGAGTGTTTTGTAACATTTTTAGAGTGAGTTGATTTGATTTATTTTCATGAAAAGAACGTAAGCATAATAATAGTATTTAAAAAATAATATAAATTTAAAAAGAGATTTTGTTACATTGACAATTTTTTAAACACGATTTGTATTTGTATTGCTTACGTCAAAACCTATTTTAGCAACTTCAAACTCACAGTATTTACCAAATTATTCCTAAATATGGTTTTTGCAAATTTAGTTGTAAAACCTTACAGTTACTTTCCTATTTACAGCATAATTGTATGTACCCTACGATGCTTACAATAACTTATTAGTTATACTTTTTAGTTTTTTCTTTAAACATTATAACGTTTTGATGAAATTGTGAACGAAATAAAGTCGAAAGAAGAAATAAAAAAAAATTAAATATATTTATGATTATGGCTAAGTTTTTAGGAAAACATATTTTAAAAATGCCTGTATGGATCTCAGTAAAAAAAATAATAATGAACTGAAAATAAATACGTGTTAAAAAATTATTTTAAGTAATGAAAACGGTGCAGCTTAACCAAGAGTTTCGAAGAAAAAAGTTACTGCATACACGCATGGGATACAGGAGCTTGAAAAAAAATGTTTGCATGCCACGCAAATAAAAGTAAATTTCTTTCGCTTGTTCCGCTTTGCGTAGTGAGCAATTTTTTATTTGTAAATCTGGTGTCAATTTTACTTTCTCGCTTTCGGAAACCCCCTAGAGTAATCATAAATATTGGAAATCCCTCGCCGACGCGTAAAGTTGAATACAAACGAAAATTATTGTCTATTTATTATCTAAGTATGTATATGAGTAAGCGATTGGATATTTTTGATATTGACAGTTAAAAAAAAATAATGATCAATAGAAATTAATTCCAATTTCTTTGCTTCATTTTCATACAAACTTTTGGAAAACATAAATTCATACTTTTGGCAAAAATTTGCGAGAACAACGTCTAAAGCATTAAGAATACCTACTAAAAACAAATTTGTATAATGCCTTTTTACGATCTTTTTATATAAATAAAATAGGCATCAAATTTAAATAAATTTATGGACATTTATTAAATTAAGGGAACTAAAAAATTTTATAAATTGCATTGAAAAACAAAACTAAATTAGTAAAAATTTGCACGAAACCACTAACACTTCCACATTTATTGCATTTTCACATATTTGGTTGTTAAAAATGTCGTTGAATGGTTTTCTCTAATATTTTTTAAATATTTTCTTGTTTAAATAAATTGCATATTCATCACTTTTAATTACTTATTTCGAGCGATAATCATTCTAAATATTTCTTTAAGACAACATTACAAAAATAAAAAGATTTGTAGAACTTATTTGACAATTTTATTTTAAACACAAGTTTAGTTGAAGAGAGATATAGTGGATATTAGTTAAAGTTAGATGTTGAATTTACGAGACAGAGAGAGAGAGAGAGAATAAAAGAGATCCAAAAGACATTTTACAATAATCTTGGTTAAATTTTAAACTAATGATAAATGATTAATTTGAACTTTGTTAAAAGTTTTGAAAGAATATATATTACAATTGCGCTAAAACCAATAATGAAGGAAATCAACGAACAAAACTTAGAGATAAAATAAATTAACTGAATAGAAATATAATTGACAAAGGGCTGAGTCGAAATATACACAGTAGCATTTTGCGCATTTCGGATAATTTAAAGCAAATCCAGCAGGAGAAAGCACTAAGGAGAATCCTCTGGCATCTTTGCCAGCAGGGCAGATGATAAATTGAGAATACTAAGTGCGATTTATGGCATGTTTGAGAGAGTGCAAATTTGTCGAGAAACATCCGATATGTGGATATTAATCTTATGGATTTTGTACCATAATAGCACACCATTCCACCATTGTGAACGAAATTCTGGTGAAAATTGAAAAATAACCCATCACAATATTGATAATGTTCCGTTGAGAGCCTCTTTTCAAATAATGTTTACAGCCACAAGTACCGGTATTTTAAGAAAATTACTAAGAATTTGCTGGAAAGATGTAGGAAGATGGGCGTTAGGGATACATTTCCGGCATTTCCCACGCAATTTTTTCTCCGAAAACTTACACGAAAACGACCGAGGAAAAAAGAGAGCGGCTACACATACATCTAGCCAACATCGAAAGGCAATGTCAGTGCCGTTAGACTTTTAGATGTGAAACAAATCCGAAGCAATGCGAATGTCTAAGGAGGAGTAACCCACTTAATTTGGAGAACAATATCAGGACGGAAAATTAAAAAGACTTAATATAACAAATAATTCAATTATAAATAAAATCACTAAAGAAGTTAATATAAAATGAATTTCATAAAATGAATTAATAACACAAACCGTTATTTGTAATATCTTTACGCCAAAAAAGTACATCAATATTAAAACGATTATTAATAATATTTGTATTAGTAGAATTATTCAAATAATTATGTTAGGATCCATTTTATAACCATAACACTAAATTATCATAAATGTATATATAAATATATAAATAATAATACCAGTTACATTACTAATGTAATCATAACAGTAATCATATGTAATTGTAAATCGTATTGGCTCGTACACATAAAATATTTTTATCAATTATTTCTTTACTATTTTGTTTGTTGTCTCATCCTTTTTTTACTTTGAAGATTTACTTCCATGTCTTGACTATGGAGGAGGTATTTTTTCATGTATTTGTTTGCTGAGGTGAAAAGTTCTCACAATTAACATTATGAGAGCAGTCTGACGTTGTGTAAGCCCTTTTCTTCATGGGAAAAGGAACTAAGCGGGTTGTAAAGGATGCAGGCAGAGAGGCATTGCCTTCATTGGTTTGTATTTTTTAGAATTGCAGTTAAAAAGTTCACTTGTGATCTACGTAAAATATGCAGAAATGTATATGTGCTTTACCCATACCCTTATATGTAAGGCCTACCTTCCCGGGAGGCCTCAAGTAAGTTTATTTTATTTAAGCAGACTAAAAATTTTTCTTTTGATATTCAGTAAATCTGATTTGAGGTGGTGAGTTTGTTAGGCCTGACAGTTTCTATTCAACCTGGGATTAATCGTTGTATTTCGCTATTTTTGGTACATTCGCCTGCAATGGACTTCTCGTTTAATGGCGCTTAATTGAGCTCAAATTAATGATGGATTTGTTGGATTTTACAAAATATAAATATACATATATGTGTCTACTACTGAATACGAGATTGCAAGTATTTGTGGGTTTGATGAGCTTTTGTGTGTTTTTTTGTCTTGATTTGTTTTTGTAATTTTGTTGTAATTGTTGTGTTTTAGTTGTAATCCTAACGCGCACTTACCATGGTAACATCATCGATTTTAGATATACTTCTTACGAAAATGTTGACTCGCACAACAGCGGGACCATCTGTATAATATACACACACACACATATATATATTTATATATATGTACAGAAATTTGAATAATTTGTATTTAGTATGTAGCTTAATATTCGTTTAGAGTGTAAAGAAAAACACCAAAAATATGTAATTAACATATGTACATACATTATGTAAGTATGAGCTTGGCAATATTATTCCTTTTGTGTACACATTCATAGAACTTAAGTGAAGAATTTCTCTTTTAACAACAGTTTAATTAAAATAACACGAGCATATTGTTTATTTTTTTATTATTTTATTGATAGTTGATATTATTATTATTTATTTAACTTTGTTTGGATTACTCATATATTATATGTATATACGTGTATTTGTGCATCTTGCCATTGGTTTTGCTTTATCGCACTTTTAATCATCCAGAGTTCCATTTATGTAGTAATCGGCCTGTGGTTTTCGTAATTTTCTTACACATACTTTTTTGTTGTATTTTCTAAAATAGCTGTAATAAAGTTCAGGAGATATTTTCCAATATTACCTACATACAAATGCTCTACTTGCTAGTGCAAAAACTATCCCTCTTAATTACTATACTCGTATATACAATAAAATTCTAGAAGTGGTACTATATGAATTATCTATATAAAATAATTTGAAAGCATGAAAATGACATGATTTAAGTTTTGAACGAATTTACCAATATTCTCTGAGAAATAATACAAGAAATGGAAATAAAAGTCTGAAATTACTTACACAAAAATGAATAACTAAATTCAAAACCCTACGCGATACATGAAGAGAAGCTAAAATAAGCGAAAATTATATGGAAATTGTTTGTATTCGAATTTGAAAATCGACCTTACGTAAACCTGCGAATGCGCTCATTGACAGTGGGTTTAGTTGATCGATTTGTTGGTGAGAAGAATTGTTGATTGACAAAGTAGTTGTTACAAAACATGCTTTTCGTGAAACGTGAGATACACTTAATTTCACCGTTACATATCTGGCATCACACAGCACTGTTGTGCGAAAAAAATCATATGGAAACACACAGAAATAATAGAAGAAGGCAGAAGTGAAAAACACATAAAAATTCAGATATATTACGGTCAACTGAAGAAGAAAAAAATTAACAGTAAATAAATAAAAAACTGCAAATCATTTCAGACTTAATAAAGCTATTTAGTACTAAGTAATTGAAATTATTCCATATGAACTGTTATATAGAGTGTCGGGTACGTTATAATTTATATAGGAACTCAACTTTGAGTCTGGAGCACAATATATATGTATATGTAAATAGAGTTATGCACGGTAAATATATATATTTTAGGGGATTTGAAGTTAAAATCACTGTATACTTGAATATATATATGTAGATAAGTGTCGGTTGTAAAATAGATTTCATAAGAATGAAAAGTTTTTTTCTTTAATAAATATTGAGAGTTTTGAATATTTGTATTAAATTTAATTTGTATTTTGCATATGTAGATTTATTATCGATTAAACAAATAACAATTACGAAAAAACATAGATAAAGATATAATAATAATAATAATAACGTAATTCTAATTAACTTCGTTCCATGAAATTTTTCAAATACATTTGCGAAGGTGACTTTTTGAAAAGTTGGGTTTGCTTTGGTCAACGTGTGCTTGTGGTGTGTATTATATGTTTTTCATGATATTATATAAAATCCCATATTGCTCATTAATGCGACAGAGACATGTATATTACCAATACAATTATAAGTTGTTAACATTTCTGAGCTCTATAATATTAAAAGTTTCGTATGAAAAGCTCCCACTTAAGAAAAAGTGGCGTAAATTTCTTTATTTTTTGTGTGTCTGGCTGAACAGCGTGTGATCCTGTTCTGGAGCGCAAACGGCGCAAGAATCGTAACTTGTAATAAATTTACATATATGTATGCCAACATTCAAAACTTCAACGAAGACCCGTGGCTTAAATAATTTTCTCTTTTTTCTTTTTTACTTTGTTTGATATTTTTATTAATTTTCTTTCAACTCCATGCCGTCACAATATAGGATTTCATAAGTATTCGGAGAGGCGGGCAAATCGAATGAAATTGAAATTTTTTGTTTAGCTTTTTAACTTTTTTTAAGGGCATAAATTTGCTTTAGCTTACTTATGTCAATTTGGTGCTGTGTGTATGGTATGTAGGTGTGTAGCTTAGGTCAATATATCAATGCTAAACTAATATTTTCTGCATAATGCGTTTATTTTATAAATGCAAGCTATTTTAAAATAAGTGTTTATGTAAGGTTATGCGAAAAACTTTTTTAAGATTAAGATTTTTCTGGATGAAAAGTTACTTCTTTTTAGAAAAGTATAGAAACTAATACGGGGTGAGTATGTATGTATGAAGATTACTTTTTTATCGAACAAACAATGGAGAGTGGGATCAGACGGAAACTTAACCAATATATATTTTTTAGGCGCATTTCTATATAAATGAAAATTTAAACAAAAAATATTTTAAGAGATTTCTTTAAGATTAATTTTTTGTTTGTTATTTTGCAGGTCTTTTTTTCTACAATTATAATTATTAATGTTATTTGCACAAGGTGACATATGCTTTTCTTATATATTTTTTCTATAATTTCTCTACACTTACCATTTTTATGTCACTAATCGTCATTATACTTCGTACGAAAAGATTGATTCTGACTATAGCGGGGCCATCTGTTTCGATACAGTAGGTATATATATATATATATATATATATATATACATACAATTTTTATTGTTATGTATGTATGCATGTAGGTTTTTTGTTTAAAATAATATTTATATATATTTATTGATTTGTATAAATATTTAATGAAAATAATTTTGATAGATACAAATATAAACTGTTAGGTTATAAAAGTGTTGTAATAACGGATATAGTTCGTTTCGAAAAGATGTATGTTAATATGTATTTATACTTAAGCTAATTAAAATAGGTCTAGCAGAAAATTCGTGAAAAATTAAAAAAAAATTGGAGTTACAAAAAATACATTAATATTTAGTTAAGCCGTTAAGCTGACGAAAATATTTGTTTTAGAAATGAGCCACTCATACAAATTAATTTACTTGTTCATCAATCCATTTACATTCAGTCATGTATGTATGTAGCTGCTGTGGCCAATCGCTTAGAAAATTTCTTGGAAAATAATGCTTTTACAGTTTAATTATCGGTCACTTTTGTTTACAAGCCAATAAAAATGGATCAAAAGAGTAAAATAATTTAACCAAATCCAAATCATAAAACATAAAATATTTCAAGTGAATTCAAAATTAATGAAATTAATTTCATATTGGTAAATTCAATACATATTTGTATTCATATGTTAAAATTTAAATTAATTTGTAATCTAAAAATATGCTTTCACTAATTTAGTACACACACCTTGGCGTACAAATTTACATTTCTGGTTTCAAAATTTGTATATTTTTTTTGACGTGTATCAACAATAAATGTAATATATTTTTCATAAAAGTGTTTGTATATAGGATTAGGCTTAGAACTAGATTTCTAATTGAACATATAAGTAATTTGTGAAAATAAAAGCTCAAATGTTTCAAACGCGATTCGAAAAAAAAAAAAAATATTTAAATATATCGTTAGCTGCCATTTTATATATATATATTTATTTATATATATATATTTTTTTTTAGGTTTCGAAATTTTCTTTAAATATTCCTCGCAGTTTAATATATTTATTTATTCATTATTATTTAAGTTTCATTTTAACTTTTGACTTGTTGTTGTCTTTTGTGTTTTCTTACCCGTGCCGTTTATTCCGGATGGACGTATTCTGGCATCATATTTTCCTGCACCTAAAATTTGGTCTAAGACTTTTTTCTCCTTTTCTCGGAAATTTATTTTGGCATTATTAGCTCTGAAATTATGATATGTACGTACGTATAGTTTTATTATTATTTTGTTATATATACTTCATATATGGTTTGAAATTTTTCTTCTATTTTCAATTTTTTTCTTCATATTTTACACACAAAATACCAATAATATTTGCATAAATTACGAATTTGCATTAGAAAAATATTTGAAAAGTGGTGAAGAATTAGTAATAAAATAGTGGAAAAATATATGTATAGCAAAACATTAAGTATTTCAGTATATATGTACAAAGTGAAGCAAAAAATTTTGATTTTCATTTACTTTGAAGTATTCTTTCCATTCTCTGCTTGGGTACTTCGTTAAATCGAAGCACCGATTCTCTACTATTTTCAACATTATACCGTCGCACTTATCATAGTATTTGCTTTGCTGACAACAAGAACATATCTGCGGGACCATTAGACACACGCAGATATGCTTTGTCTGGCATTTGCAAATAATTCCAAAATTTATGCTCCGACAAAAATTAAAAAACTTTGCGTATACATTTTCATATACATAAATACGATATGTATATACTTATATAGTGTTTATATTAAAGCGTATGAAAAAGAAAAATATTGTACAAAGAGATTTTAAAAATGTTGGGTTTTGTTTTTTTTTTTTTAATTTATTCATATGCATTGGCGTGAAAGCAGTTACATGAGATTTACACTTTATATATATTCGTTATATATACGTGCAAGTGTGCAATGTGATGGCTATTTTTTACCTCTTGCAGACTCCGCGTTAACTCAGATAGTCCAAGGACTTAGAGCTAGATAAGCAGATGATATCGAAAGCTGAAGTTAACATATTTCTCAAGAAGCGAGGTCGAGGGAGAAAGCATTAGACTTTGGTGCACTCTTGTAAAGAGGATTTTTCTTTGATAATTTCGAGCTTTGGCATATAATCGTTTGTCAGACACTCATTTAGCTTGTTTGAGAATTTTAACGGATCTAAAAAGATGTTTTATTTGCCTGATGGCATTCAACGAGATGAGCTTACGCAGTTTCTAGAAAATAGCATTTTCGTTTAATTAAACGCAAATACACTAGTTTTGAATGTTTTCGATACAATGAAGCTGGCGGTAGTACAGGGTCTGCCACTTTGCTTTAAACTCACACATAAACACATGCAAAAACGCATATAATACGCATATAAAAAATGGCATCACATCGCGACACTTCAATCAAACTTTCATCCATAAATTAAAAATTTCATAACGAAATTGTTTACCTCGCGTCAGAGTGAGTATGCTGGGCAAAAAAATTTCGCGTGTGCAAAAATGTCAATGTGTGTATTTACAATACTGCAATACTGTTTGTTATAAACTATGTACATACTTCAATTTCACACCATCCGTTATGGCCATTCATATGTGTTTAATACATATGAATATATATACATATGGAATTAGAATATGAAGTAATAAATACTTATGCAGACATATACGGCGACATACATTTATACATTTTAAGATATATATGCATATTTGTTAGTGGTCATCCTTATTTACTTACAGCGATGCACTACATAAACTGGCAAAATAGAATATCGCCCAAAAGTAATGACCGGTGCCCATGATTTGTATGAACTGCTGAACGCCTTTTTTATAGGGTCACTCACTTCTGTGGCTGCAAAATATTGCGTTGTTAAATTTTGGAATTCTTCAGTAGCTCTCTATGCTCCAATCACTGAAAGTGAAAAATAATAGATTAAAAACCATTTTAACCGCAATGGTGTTGGTCGCGGTGGGCTAAACTAAAAATGCCATATATTCGAGCTTATGCACATACATACTCGTATGTGTGTAAATATTAAAGACATTCATATACATATTTATCCATATACTACTTATGTATTGTACATAAATATTAATTGAATTCGCTTCTTTTCATTAAGGATAATAAGGAAAATAGTCGAAAATTTCCCATAAATCTACGACCACATTCTTCACCACAAAATACCCCAAAGAGGTCAAGGCTATTTGCAATTAATCAAGATTTTTTCAACCAAATTCAGCTTATATATGTAATATATAAGATTCCAAACTCCTTCTGGACCGATTTTTATGAATTCTTTTGTGTGCTTGTAGGGAAGGTGAAAGAATAGGCCAAAATATATTTTTTCCACCGGGTGGTGCAACAGGGATGAAGTTATTCGAAAACATCGTATTTGGGGTGTGATTTACTTGATTTTTAAAAATCTTATTTATGGTTTAATTTGCTCGAAATTCTTTTCTTTCTGAAGCCGATCTATGTGGAATTTATTTGCCTGTGGCGTGCTGGCAAATCATCTTTGTTGTTTGTTCTCCTACCATATCACTCTCTAGTGATTTTGAGTCCATTCAAATAATTCACATTAAGATTTGAAGTATTTATATTTTATTATCACTGTGGAGAAAATCCAAAAGTAAAGAATTGAAGAGAGGCGAGGCTCGTACCCTGCGAGAAAATAAATATAGAGAATCGTTAAAGTTGTAGTCTAAGAGCCCGCTGGCTCCAGACACATCTCAATGGGAAAAGGTTTCTTTGGCCAATAGCATAGGTCGAAGATGCAAAAAAAGCACCTCAAAAGAATTAGAGTATTTCCAAAAAGGTTTCAAAAAAGTGAGGTCGAATTTGATAGTGGATGAATATATATCTTGCGGACTATAGCTAAGAGATATTAATCTATATAAACGCGAACAAATTTTCCCTACTAATAATAAGAGACCAATGAAATGATCCAATGAAAGATAAATCTCTAAAATATAAAGATATTAATGAGGTTAATTTTGCATAAAACAATTGTCCCAAATTTAATTATTTATTAGCAAAAGCTGGGCTGAAGCAAGCAAACAGTCAGTAGACTTTTAAGCTAAGTTAGTTTTCAGTTGCTATGCCAGAATGCTAAAAATAGAAGGCTGTAGCAAGTTTTTGAATGTATTTCTGTTAGGCTCGGTCTGGCCTACACACTGCGCTTTCAGTTGTATATACTGGTATGTAGATGTTTGCTAAGGATCACGGTTATATGTAAATTTGCGTATGTAAATCGGTGGATGTGTATGTGTGCCATTTCCAAACTGTTTCGGCACACTTTTCACAGTCAGTGCTCTTCAAACTCAACACACTCGACGTTTTGTACGCTGAAGCACGTTGCCAACTGTGTGCTCGTATGTACGAGGTATGTAGGTGGTAAATCTGTATAAATATGTCTGTAAGCATCAAATCGAGGCTGGTGTTAACGAAGCCACTATATATACGCTGATGTTGCATGTAGGAAAATTTCGGAAATTGGAAGATATATTTTCTGACTCAGAGACATTTTCGCGTTTCAGAGTGTGCCCTTAAACCAAGGAACCAATTGCGCTTTTAGCTTCTGTTTTCTCAGACATTGTTTGGCAGTGCTTAGCTTATTTTTTAGTTGTGTTTAGCTGGATCTCTGTAAAACTTCTGGCAACAATGTTTGTAATTTAAGAAGTTCTATTTTGTTCGGTGCAAATGTCACCGATTCCTTAACACTCATCAAAGTTTAAGAAAAAAAATTTTACCTATTGGACAAATAAAATAGTTAAAAACATATATTTTTGTATTGTACATATATATATATATGTGTATGTATATACAAGAAATATTTATCAATGGCTTCTTCTTATTAAACATGTTTGTTCATACAAATAATATTACACAATGTTGTCAGTTTGAGAACTCAGCTCGATCCGCAGTCTGTGATTCTTCCCATTTCTTACGTGGCTCAACTATTTACCAAAAATATACTTAATATTATTATGTATACAGTGGCTCACAGCCAAAGCTTTATCTAACATTTAAATAAATTTCCAAAAAAACATGAATGCCAGTTATTAGCCGCAGATATACACATTCCATTGATGCTCTAAAAATTTTATATTTTAAGTTTATTTTATTTAATTTACAACAAAAACAGATTAAATTGTATCTCACAGCCAAAATGATGCACAACGATTTACCATTAGTGGCGGCGTCTTGTCGACGATTTTTGAATAAATAAAAACAAAATAAGTACCGCTATAATCGCGAAAAAACTCGGGTTACTATGAGATAACTTTGACACTATAGCATTGACATTGGTTGAGTGTAACCAAATGGGTCGCCAAATAAGTATTGAAGTGCGCGAATTAATCCTAAAACTTTATAAAGATGGTAAAAGTCAGCGTAAAATCGTGGAAATGGTGAAATTAAGCCAAGAAACAGTTCAGAATATCATTGAACGCTATGTTCGTGAAGGTCGTGCTCATAATAAAATATTTAACGAAAGTGATTCCCGACGGAAATACGCGAAACCCCCACTTAAGTGCTCCAGCTTTAGGTAAAGAAGTGCTAAAACATCTTGGAAAAGGCGGTAATCCAGAAACCATACGAAGAATTCTCAGAGAAGCTGATTTTAATTGCCACACAGCTAAAAATCAACAATCAAAGCTGAAGTTTTCAAAAGACCATTTATATGCTGATTAAAGTTTCTGGGACACCGTAAGCCCTGTGAAACATGGTGGAAGGCATGTAATGGTATGGGGATGCGCTTCGTCTTCTGGAGTTGGAAATTTGGATTTCATCAATTGTACTATGGATAAGACTGTGTATTTGGACATTTTAAAAAGAAATTTGCTGCAAAGTGTCCTCATATAGTAAAAACCCTATTTCTTACATAGCTGCATCACTTCGGCTGTGAGCCACTGTATACTCGAATATGTACATATATTAAATTTATAGAAAAGCAGGACATTCTTCCACGTATGTGCGTGTGCTCATGTGTGTTCTCAGAAATGTTGCTGTTGCTGCCGCCGTTGCTGGGTGCTATAAGCTGTTGCAAACTTTTTATGCTGATTGGATTTTTTCTTTCCATTCCTTTTCTTTTTGAAAAGCAGTCGCTTATTTCAGCTGAAGTCACATATACGTATGCATTTGCGGTTATGCTCGTGTATGTAGGCGTATGTATGCAGGCGCCCAAGTGCTTGTGAAAGCTTTTGTGAAAATGCGTCTACTTTAGCCACAACACTCTTTTTCGCATTTGCCTTAGTTCTCATTTGTTTTTGTAATTTTTTTTCCCTTTACGTTGGTGTTAGTGTGTACTGTGTATGTACGAGAATGCATGTGTGTAGGTTTGTAGTCGTGATAGACGAAATAAAGTCAAGTGTTATGTGTGCCACAAAACTGATTTCTGACTTGGTTACTCAGCCTTCTGATGACAATAACTAAGTAAGCCCGTAAATTCGTTCTGTGGATGAAAATAGATAGAGAGAAAGGTGGAACAGGAAGCGGAGCACTTAAAGTAGCAATCCATTTGCAATGTTATAGGAATTCAAAATGTGGTTAATTTTCAGCAGCCTCTTTGTCCTAGCAGCGAACAATATAAGAGTATGCAGCTTAGATCAGCTTGAAAGTGAGAATGACTTAGCTGAGGTGGCAACAGTTAGACTGCTGCCTTCACTTGCTTCATATAAGGGACCCGGCTGGAAGCCTGAAAATAATCCCAGGGACAGGGATGCCCGGATTTTCGTGAAGCGGCTTACTACTCGCCGCATCTTGAGAGTTCGCTTCGCCACATAGATCTGCATGCCTTATTATCCGAGAACAACGATCTCCAGTCGTCCAAATACTCGTATTATGGTAAAAAGTCAAGGTTTCGCAGAATTCTCATGCGACCACGCAGCACTCAGACCAAGCACTCAGTTGAGAAATCGCTTACTAGTACTACTACTAACGATAGCGCTCCATTCGTTCGTTTTCTCTGCTGTTTAGCGCGGTTTAGAAATATCAACTGAAACCAGACCGATCTCCACATTGTACTTCCAACGCAGTGGTGGTCCTGTATACTCAGTCTAAGGTACACCTGTTGGTATAAATGATTCTGCGATGGATATTAATGTTGCCATTGCGGGGCATAGCGGTGTAGAGGCAGCTTCTTCTCTGCTAGTTAATGAATCGCGTTGGCATTGTCGATACGATTATGGCTGCTCAATTTTCCGACAGTTTTCATTTCCGTTGCAGTTTAACCTGTTTGCGCACAGTTCAAGACAGAGAGAGCCGATAGAGGGCTAATCACAATTCATTAATCCTTTATGTCTCTTCAAACTCATTCGCAATGGAAACGATATTAATGAAAGTGGATACTCTTTTAAAATTTCAAAAAGTTAATTACATAAATATCACTTTTATAATTATTGCGATTGCAAAGCGGTTGTGCTTGGGTAACTACAATTAAATAATCACTTTTGCTCAGTGCTTTCATTTTAATTTTTTTGTGTCATAATCACACACGAGCGCACTGCTGTAAATAACCTGAGAGAAATGTCGAAACTGGGGCTAAACAAGTGTGTAACAAATTCTCACGCGCCACTTCCATCCCCCACCAACACAACCACTTCCCGAGCCTTTGAATTACCGTTATGTACTTAACGAGCTTTAACTAGCATTGAAGGTAATTAGGAAGTCAGTTGGTCGTTTACAACATTTATGCTTAGTTCGTTTGTCGGTTTCGTGGTCTTTTGCTGAGAACGGGAGGTGCAAGTGGCGTTGAAGACTACTCATGTATGCACGTGTGTACATATTGAATACTGCAGGTAGGCACATAGACCATGTGTGTATAATGTTAATTTGAACATAATCGGCTGCAGTTGTGGAGGATCATGAATTCGCATTGCTGGACATGCCGACATCCAAAATTATGAAAATGG